CTTTTTGGGTAGGAGTCAATTAGCATGGCACATCTTGACTTGGCAATATTTGCCCACTCTTCTTTACAAAAGCGCTCCAAATCTGTCAGATTGCAAGGGCATTGCCTGTTTACAGCCCTCTTCAGATCACCCCACAGATGTTCAGGTCTGGGTTCTGGCTGAGCCGTTCCAAAACGTTAATCTTCTTCTGGTGAAGCCATGCTTTTGTTGATTTAGATGTATGCTTTGGCTCGTTGTCGTGCTGAAAGGTGAAATTCCTCTTCATCTTCAGCTTTCTAACGGAAGCCTGAAGGTTTTGTGCGAAAATTGACTGATATTTGGAACTGTCCATAATTCCTTCCACCTTGATTAAGGCCCCAGTACCAGCTGAAGAAAAACAGCCCCAAAGCATGATGCTGCCACCACCATGCTTCACTGTGGGTATGGTATTCTTTGGATGATGTGCAGTGTTGTTTTTGCGCCAAACATACCTTTTGGAATTATGGCCAAAAAGTTCAACCTTAGTTTCATCAGACCATAACACATTTTCCTAGACTTCATGTATTTTTTTGCTAAATGTAACCGGGCTTGGATTGTTTGTTTTGCAATTAAATTATTCACATTATAGATCACATTAAAGGCTGAAAAGGTTTGGACATGATTTATCTTTGTCTAATTACAAAAACCTGGTATTTTAACAGGGGTGTGTCGACTTTTTATATCCACTGTAAGTAAATAAAATATCGATTTAATATCAAACTCAGTTTTCAGTTTGTATGATCTCCCCATGTCTTAGTGGCTTTACTCCAGTTGTTCCCATTTCCTCTTACAGTCCAAAGTCATGCATGTTAGGTTAACTGGAAACTTTCCCAGGCATGAAATTGTCAACAAGATAATCAATAATAACAATAAAAATACAGCCGTGAGTGGCAATTGACAACATATGACACACACAAAAATGCTGCATAACTTTTGGTAATTTTCCTCTAATCAGATCTGTTGATGACTGCAGTAACTCCACTAACTTTGTATCTGGTGTCCTTCCTCCACCTCTCCTGCCACCTGTAGCCCCTTCAGCACCGACTGCATTATTCACTCAGTCTATCTGCTCCCGCTAACCCCAGATCTTCTCGGTCTTGTCCAGGTAGGCCTGAAGTGATCCAAGTTCATCCACAAAGTTTGTAGTATTTTGGAGTCCTGGTTGAATTTCTCTTATTGCTTTTCCCCACCTATGTGAGGTCATTTCCAGCTATCCTGGTAAAGGAAGAAATAACCATTAACTTACACTAGATGGCAGTATGTTCATGTGCTGTAACACTGCAGGAGATTATTTTATGAAATGTCAGTGTCTTCTGAGGTGTTTTTTGTCATGATTACTAAATACACTTTTGTGAAGTTGTCTTATAATCCTCCCAGAAATTCTCATGAAGACCTAATATCTAATATCTATCTAAATCATAAAAAGGTTCAATGACCAGTGTGGTCATTAAACATTTCAGGTGATTGTACGCAAATGGAAACTTATGAAATATATTCTGTTTCTGCCCATAGACCCTCCTGAATGTTACACATTGGACCTTTAATTGACTAACGCAATTAGTAGTATATCTGGATACCTTAAATGAAATGTATTGTTTAAACCAACTTGGATATTTATGATGCATTTATTACAATTTATAAATCACAATTAGACATTATTCTAACTAAGCTGTATTTAAAATACAATATAATCTTAAATCTTACCAGGTCATTTTGCTGAAAACTCTCCAGACTGGCTAAGAAATAATATGTATTGAGAAGATGATTAAACATGCACAGTCGACTTCTGCAGCTATAGAAATAGCACAGTTCATCAAATCATTTCACAATACAGAAATTCTGTCTCCTGGTGTTATAAGACATCTTACTGAGATTCATACAAACGTAAAGATAGTATAGGACTGTCATTAATTGTCATTGTCTTAGAGTGGAAACACATTAACATTAACAATGATGCTTTATTGTATAACTCAATTTAATTTACAGCCCAATGACACTTCATTTTTTAATGTATGTACATGTAAAAGACTAAACACTGACAATACAGTCATTTAGTCCATAAACATTGCCTAGAACACCACTGCTACAGTCAAATTATCAAATGAAACAGTTTAAACAAAAGTTACACAGAACAAGTTCTATTTATGCACAATATTTTTGTCTCTAAATTGAACCTGGGCATATTCACTATTCTCTGCCTTGTTTGCATCTTTTCCAGTCACAGTGTTGCCATATAGACTCTCCATCTCCCGTGCATTGCTCACGTAATGTCTGCTCATGCCTCCCTCCATGGACCGCTCCTCTTCCAGATAGGAGGTACCAGACAGGTTCCTGTCCACATTACGTTCTCCCTTCTTCTTGCTCTTGCTCTTCCAAATCACACTGGAGTAAAGCACATCACTGCTTTCCTCATTCTGCTTCTCTGAGCTTCTACTGGATATCTGTCGATGTCCTCGATGAGAATTTGGTTCATCTTTCCCCCTGATCATGTTGGTGTTGATGTAAATATCTTCTTCTAATGTGATAGACACCTGAAAGGGGAAAAAAATCAGTGGTACAGATATTCCACTAGATTATCCCTTTTTAATACCCAAATTATAAAACAGTCTGTACCTTATTTCCATTTTCACTTGTAACATCTTGACTCACCACAGCTGTGCTGGTGTCACCTGTACACTGGCTCTTTGTAGGGTTATGGCGCCCAGTTCTCTGAGCCCTGAAAATAAAAAAGTAGGACACCCCATCCAATTTACATTGACATATTCACTTCCATTTTGGTTTTCAGCCAAATCATGTATTAGTTGACAAAATGCAGAAGTTTATTCAGAGAGAAAGTAAAAAATTAGGTTAGACAAACTCTAACTGGCATGACTTAAATTATATAAATATATACTGTAGTAATCACTGATAGAATACAGCTGCCAATCATTACTTACTTACATTACTATTCTGTAGAAGCATAATAATCAGTGCTAAAAAATGTCAGAATTAACAATAAAATAACCTTATGAATCACAGATTGCACCAGCAACAGTCGCTGTTATATACAGTATGCTATATATGGGTTGTGGACTTGCTGGCCATTGGGATTTTACATACTTTAAAATTCATAAACTATTCATTATTTTGTGTATTCACAAGAAATTGTCTGTTAAAGCTTGAAAACTTAAACTGGTTCTGACAAACACTACATAGAGTCAGTATTTATACTAGAGTTAAGTTAACAACAAAAGCCTTACTGTGAAGGGTTTCATGGCTTCACAAGTTGTTACCTACCTGACAGCAAACAGTAGAGCACATATTAGTGCTGCTGTAAGTGCACCGACTGTGACGATGAAGACGGGCAATGTAACTTGACCTGAGAATTATGTATGAGACAGAACAGAAAATTAAGAAGGTTCGTCAGAATTAGACATATATATATTCGGATTATTTGGTGAAGAAGACATACATGGAGCTTCCTGGGTTTTTCCTGGGGGTGTATTAAACACAGAACTCAATTATAATCTGTTTTAAGGTGTTACATCGTGTATTGGTAGTATATAAAACTGTCATAGAAGAGAAGTAAAAATAAAAAAATCTAAGAAATAGGTTGAGTGATTAATATATAATATTTGCACTACAGACATTATCGATATGAATTCCAGAAGCAGAAATCAAGAGTGTGACTAACTAACATGTCCCTTACATATACAGTATGTACAGTATGTGAAACAGTTGGGAGCTGACAACAGAATAAAAAATGTAAAAACAAAAACACTAAATGGAAACATATATACTGTGCTGATATAGAGAATATGGCATTGGGTTCCAGTTGATCAGAATTTCAAGAAAGTCTCATAGTTTCCAACTAATCAGTTGAACTTGTATTTAGCACAAAGACAAACCGTGATTTTCTGTAGATGTTTGAGGCTCAAGGCTGTAGACACAAAAACGTTGACTGGCAGATCCCACAGAGTTGGAGCTGCGGCAGAGCAAAGAGGAAAGATCCCTCTCCTGTGGTTGATTCACAGTGATGAAGCTCCTCAGGGCTGTGTCATTCAGAAGCTCATTGCTGATTGCAAACTTGTCAGAGTGATTGATGGGTAACCCATCCAAATACCACTCTAAAATAGGAGAAGGGTTTCCCACAGTCTCACAGGAACAGTTGAGCTGGTCTGCAGTTTTGGTGCAAACAGAGGAGAACACGATCTGTGGAGCAACTGTAATGAATATAGAGAAGACCGACAAGTTAAGAGTCAAGTAAAGTCATGTTTAATCAAGTTAGCAAAAATGACTGTATCTCTGGGGACCCAAGGAAGTGTAGTGTTAAACTTGGCACAATTTGGATATGAGACACATTCAATGTTAATAAACTTTGAATAAACAAGCGAACAGCCCTCTGAGTACAGGTGGGGTTTCAGTCAGTAAAATAAACAGTTGTAATCATGTGATACTCACACTGAAACTCTATTTGACTGATATTGGATCGTCCAGCTCCAAGATCATTTTCAGCCTTGCAGAAAAAAGGACCACTGACTTCAGAAGCTTTAATGTTTAAAACACGTCCGGTCCCAATAAAAGTCTCCTGGCCTCCATCAGCTCTGTACCAGGTGTAGTTCCTTACTGCTGGGTTGGCAGTACTACTGCATGTCAGAGTCACAGTGCTGTCTTCTGGTACTGGACCAGAGGGACTGACTGACACTGTGGTGTGTTTGGGTGAATCTGAAAAAGAAATGATTACACTTATGGAAACATTATTTGTATTATTCATTGGTGTAATTTGCCCTGATGTTTGTTATGAAATAAAAAAGGTAGATTATGCTACTTGAACAACTGTAATACATGTACAGAGAATTTAAGAGTTAAGTGAAATTGGGTGAAGTTTAAGGTATAGCAATAATTAAATGGTATTTACCTGGAGGTTGCTGTTGACAATAACTACTACAATAAAATAACACATTTGTATCTGTCTTAATGTCACAGATGACAAGTGAACTTACATGAAATATCAGCTGTTAAACTTGTGCTAACAGATGACTCAGTGCTGCCATCTTGTTTGTTGTAGACGGCAGTACAGGAGATTTCCTGTCTGTGATGGAGGTGAGAAGCAGTGAAGTTCACAACAGAGGTCTTGACTTTAGTTTTGTCCTGATTCTCCTCCAGTGTCTCCTGATTGTGACCCAGGCTGGGGGTCCATGTCAGAGTTGGAGAATGAGACAGACAGGGAGCTGGAGCAGAGCACTTCAAACTCACTGAGGTTCCCTCCTCCACCTCCAGTGTGGACGGAGTCAGAGTCGGTCTGGGAGGATCATCTGGTGGAAAGGTACATTTTGATGAGTCAGTAAAAATATAATTCTTCTCCATTTTGTACACTATTTGAAGAATGTGATTAATGGAGAACAAGAGTCAAAGCAGTTCTACAAGGGAAATATATAACTAAATGGACTTTAAAACCTTACTTTTTACTGAAATGTCCAACCTTTGTTGTTTAAAATCATATTTCAGGCGATTGTTACATTCCAGTCTGAAATAATATGTGTTGCTGTGTTCAGGTTGCATGTTGTTCAGGGTTGTGGTGCAGTCTTTAGCTGTTAAGACTCCTGTCAATGTTCCTTCTATTTTATTTAGTTGTGTTTTACTGCTATCAAACACAACAGTCCCTCTTTCATTTTTCCACATTGCTTTACAGGTTTCATCCAAGTTTGATTTAGATATGTCCTCTATATCAAAGGAGCAGGGGATGGTCACACAGGATCCCCTGAGAACCTCTATAGTCTGCGGCATAGTGACCTTAAACTCTCCACAGTGGACACCTGAAACACAAGACACAAATGTGTGAGTGAGAATAAGTGAATAATCTTTTACAGTAATAAGGGAAATCAATTGTTTAGCTCACTTGCTAAAATCTACTATACCTTTTTTCATAAAATAATGTTTGGTTAAAAAAACATATTCCACCCATCGAAATAAACTTGTAAGAAAAATGCATTTTTTGTTGCATAAGAGATGCAATGTAACTCACTGCATCTCTTATGCAACATTCATACAGATACTGTTGTACTGTGGTTTGAATAGCATTGTGTTATTGTAGGTTTTTTAGAGTTTTATAATTTATAGTTGTTCAATGTGAATGAACTCACTTTGCAGCAGACTGCCAATGAGAAGGAGAGTCAGAGCTGCAGCCATCTTTGTGTGTCAGGAGAGGCAGAAACTCTGGAGATTACACATGGAACAATTCACATCTTTAGTACATTTCATCCCTCATAAACCTTTACGTAGGGTTCATTTGGAGGTCAGTATTGAATTTAATATTTGCAGAGGTTGCAGATAGAGAAATGTTTCTTTATTTCATGGTCAGGTCACGGTGACACAGCACACCTATTTATCATTCGTAGAGAAATAAGGGGACGTATAACTGCATTCCTTTGAAAAACTATCATTGAACAGTTAAATTAATCAGTACTTATTGTAAATACATTTCTTGCAATGTTCCCAGGCTTTTATAAACATTTAATTATTGATAATCAATAAAAGGGTAATACTGGTTTTGGTTTTTTTACTCATTTTAAAAGATTTGCTAAAACAAATAATTGTTGTTTTTTTTCAGTTTATTTACAAAGTTACAATTTATCTGAAATAACTATTTTCACCGGACTAAAACCTCAATTGAACGACAGCTTAAACGTTTCAAATAGAAATGTTGCAACCTTTCACATATTTGCTGTCTTTTCTAGTTTCTACCAACATTGTTCACTGACTTAAAGTACAGTGACTCAATTTTTATATTTTCAGAATTTTATAGGCTAGTAAGTTATATTTTAAAAAAATGTTGATGATTTAATATGTGTCATGTAGAAGTTATGATGACTTACATTTTCTTCAGGTATTCCAGGAAGACAGATCAAAGATGTATAGAGAAGTGAAGTTCCTTCGAAGTTGTGTTGCTGTTTCAAACAGCCTGCAATAATTAACTCTAAAATGAGGAAGTCACAAAAGGGCAGATTCATGTAACAATGAAGTGTACTTTTTTAAGAACTGTTTTTTTAACGGTCACACCGTAGACGCTCATTGTTGATTGCAAACTTGTCAGAGTGATTGACAGGTAACCCATCCAAATACCACTGTAAAGTAGGAGAAGGATTTCCCACATTCTCACAGGAACAGTTGAGCTTGTCTGCAATTCTGGTGCAATCAGAGGAGGGAAGGATCTGTGGAGCAACTGTAATGAATGTACTGAGTCCAGTTGACGTTTGCAATAATACAAGGGTATTTATGTGGGGGTTGCTGCTGACAAATAAGTCTAGTAAGAACAAATCTTATAATGCAACTTCAGTTTTTTCAGTACTATCAAAAACAACCTTTTTATTTTTTTATTTTTCCATATTGCTTTATATGTTTTATCAAGACATGCTTCGCTACTATTGCAAAAGAGCTGGGGATGTCACACATGTCTGTGGAATAATGACCGCAAATCCCTAACACAGGGCGCCTGAAACATAAAACACAAATCTTGAGGAAGTTTACAAAAGTGAGGTTGTTGAATGCCTTTTTATTTTGATTATTTTGTTATAGTTACCGGTCCATATTAATTTCATCCCTAAAGTAATATGATAAAAATAAAACACTTTACCATAGTGGAAGCAACCACAATAGCATTTAGCATAGACTCTCTTTAAGGAAAAAGTACTTCATTAATTAATAGGTATATGTATTTTTTTTTATGTTTTAATGACTTCTTGATCATTTCATTATTAATTGATCAATTAAATATTACAGACTTGACAGATAGAATTTGGATCATGGAAATATCCATTCAAAGGTCAATATTGGTAGGATGTTTCTATGTGACCTTGCTAAAGATATAATAGTTGTTCCAAAATGTCACAGAGGGGTAAAAAAAAAAAAAAAAACTGATATGCAAAAACAAATAGTGTCTTTTTGTCTGTTTGTAACAAATTTTGTGATGTGATACTCACTGTGACACACTGCGTTTGTTTGACAGGATGTAGAAGATGGAATAACGATGAAAGGGAAAAACAGGAAGTGATATGTGATAGTGCTGCAGGCTCACTACGATCAACATTAGACTCTATCGCTCCTATAAAAAGGAAATTATTAAAACATAGGAGACTAGCACCTTGGTATAACCACCAAACCCGCCAGTTAAAACAAATAGCTAGTAAATCTGAAAGGAAATGGCGCTCTTCCAAATTATCAGAATATCGCTCAATTTGGCAAGATAATCTTAAAACCTATAGAAAGGCCCTCCGTAATGCCAGAGGAGCCTATTATTCAGCACTAATAGAAGAAAATAAGAACAACCCTAGGTTCCTCTTCAGCACTGTAGCCAGGCTGACAGAGAGTCACAGCTCTATCGAGCCACATATCCCCATAAACTTAAGTAGCAATGACTTCATGAGCTTCTTCTATAATAAAATTATTACTATTAGAGAAAAAATTAACCACCAACTGCCATCAACAGTTATCAGTGGCTCTCCAAGTTCAGGGACTTCTGCCAATGTAAACTCAGATATATATTTAGACTGTTTTTCTACTATCGATCTTCATCAGTTAACTTCAATCATTTCTTCATCGAAGCCATCAACCTGTCTATTAGACCCGATCCCAACTAGGCTGCTTAAAGAAGTTGTTCCCTTAATTGGCACTTCTTTACTGGATATGATTAATCTTTCTTTATTATCAGGATATGTACCACAGTCCTTTAAAGTAGCTGTAATTAAACCCCTTCTTAAAAAGTCCACTCTTGACCCAGGGGTTTTAGCCAACTATAGACCGATTTCTAACCTCCCCTTCCTCTCTAAGATTCTGGAGAAAGTAGTCGCCAAAGAGTTGTGTGACTTTCTACATAACAATAGTTTATTTGAGGATTTTCAGTCAGGATTTAGAGTTCATCATAGCACAGAGACAGCTCTGGTTAAAGTTAATAATGACCTTCTGACTGCTTCTGACAATGGACTTGTCTCTGTACTTGTATTATTAGATCTTAGTGCTGCATTTGACACCATTGACCATGATATTCTTTTACAGAGACTCGAGCATCAAATTGGCATTAAAGGAACTGCCCTAAGCTGGTTTAAGTCATACTTATCAGATCGTTCTCAGTTTGTACATGTTAACGATGAATCCTCCATAAATACTAAAGTTAGTCATGGAGTTCCACAAGGTTCTGTACTTGGACCAATACTATTTACTTTATATATGCTCCCTTTAGGCAACATTATTAGGAATCACTCCATTAACTTTCACTGTTATGCAGATGATACGCAGTTATATCTATCAATCAAACCCAATGAAATTAATCAATTATCTAAATTACAAACATGTCTTACGGACATAAAATCCTGGATGACCTGCAATTTTCTGATGTTAAACTCAGAAAAAAACGAAATTCTTGTTCTTGGCCCCAAAAACCTTAGAGACTCATTGTCTAAAGATATAGTCACTCTAGATGGCATTAACTTGGCCTCTAGCACCACTGTCAGGAATCTTGGAGTTATCTTTGATCAGGATTTGTCATTTAACTCCCACATAAAGCAGACCTCTAGGACCGCCTTCTTTCATTTACGCAATATTAGAAAAATTAGACACATCCTATCACAGACAGATGCAGAAAAACTAATCCATGCATTTGTTACTTCAAGGCTGGATTACTGCAACTCTTTATTATCAGGTTACCCCAATAAGTCCATTAAAACGCTCCAATTAATTCAGAACGCTGCAGCACGAGTACTGACAGGAACTAGAAAAAGAGATCACATCTCTCCTGTACTAGCTACTCTGCATTGGCTCCCTATAAAATGTAGAATTGAATTTAAAATACTCCTCCTCACCTATAAAGCTCTTCATGGTCAGGCCCCTTCATATCTTAAAGAGCTCATAGTACCTTATTACCCCACTAGAACATTACGTTCTCTAAATGCTGGGCTACTTGTGGTTCCTATAGTCCCTAAAAGTAGAACAGGAGCCAGAGCCTTCAGTTACCAAGCTCCTCTCCTGTGGAACCAGCTTCCAGTTGTGGTTCGGGAGGCAGACACCCTCACCACATTCAAGAGTAGGCTTAAGACATTCCTCTTTGATAAAGCTTATAGTTAGGGCTGGATCAGGTGAGTCCTGAACCATCCCTTAGTTATGCTGCTATAGGCCTAGACTATCGGGGGGATTTCCCATGGTGCACTGAGGTACTCTCTTCCTCTCTCTTTCTGCACTCATTCATGTCCCATTACTGCATGTTACTAACTCCACTTCTTCCCCGGAGTTCTTGTGCTTTCTCGTCTCGCAGGTTCTCATGGATCCTGGTGGAGCCTCCTGCCATGGTCCTGCTTGACGGCCATTGCCAATAGTGTTGTTGCTGTGCACCTGTATGTCTGTCTGTCTCTCTCTCTCTCTCTCTCTCTCTCTGCCTCTCTCTCTCTCTCTCTCTCTCTCTCTCTCTCTCTCTCTCTCTCTCTCTCTCTCTCTCTCTCTCTCTCTCTCTCTCTCTCTCTCTCTCCCCAACTGGTCGAGACAGACGACCACCCACCTAGAGCCGGAGGATCTGTCCTAGGTTTCTGCCTTTTAACAGGCAGTTTTTCCTTGCCCTTGTCGCCAAGTGCTTTCTCATGGTGGTACTGTTGGGTCTCTGTAATTAATGTTAAGGAGTTCGGTCTAGACCTGCTCTATTTGAAAAGTGTCCTGAGATAACTTCTGTTATGAATTGGCGCTATACAAATAAAATTGAATTGAATTGAATTGAATATGCTAAAACAAACTTGTGGCATTTGTTTTATTTAAAAAAAAATCTACTTTTATCAAAAACATCTCATTATTTTGCCTCATTCATATGTGTACAGTTTAGGGGTGTTGTGCAGATAGATGGAGTTCCTTAGAAGTGAGGGTGTGTTTCCAGAGAACTTGTGTCACTTTTAGAAATAAGGAACTTACAAAAGTGAGAGCTCTTTGCACCACATTTCACACCACAGAACAATAGAAATATATAGCAATATTGTTCTAAAGTTATGTAAATAACATAGTGGCCAAAGAGATTTCCTTTTTCCTGATCAAACAATCAAACAGTAACTTTATGATTTACCATTAAATGATCAAATCTCTCAGAGAGAAAATATGCATTTGAGAATATAAAAACTGTAAATTGTAGATTTCCTTTCATCCAATGAATCATTTTCTTTTTCCTTTTTCTGTGTCGGGCTTCTGAAACACGTTATCGCTTCAAAATCATGTTTGTAAGCAATTCTCAAGTCAAAAAAGAAACAAGCTGATAAAACAATGGTAAGCTTGCCTTCTGAATTATTAAAGAGGACATTAAGATTAATATGAATTACATCTTAAAGTCAGAATATCGATTGATTTCATGTAGGATGCTTTGAAAGCATGGAGCCCTGCCCTTGTCACATAAGTTTTGGTTATCTTCCTCCAATCAAATCTGTGGAGGACTGCAACAACTTTACAATCTTTGTCTGGAGCTCCTTGGCTTTCTCTGCGTTCTCTCCTTTCTCCACCTGTTCCCCTGCCACCTGAAGTCCTTTCAGCACTGACTGCAGGGCGTCTGCATTCTTCACTGATTCCATCTGGTCTCTGTCTGCCTGGATCTCCTCCACCCAGTCCAGGTAGGCCTGAAGTAATCCAAGGTCATCCACAAAGTTTGCAATAATCCGAAGTCCTGGTCGACATTGCTCCAGCTCCCTCAGCCTCCTCCTCCCCACCTCTCCGATGTTATTCCCAACAATGCTGATGAAGGAGAAAAACACAGAAAAAACAATTACAACAAGTAATTGTTACAATTACCTCCCAGTAGATGGCAGTGTTTTTAAACAATATGACATTGAAAACATTAAGCAGAAGTTGGGGCGTTTAAATCTTACGTCAGTGTCTTCAGAGAGGTGTTTTTTCTGAGGCAGTTGACAATGTTTTCAGTTCCTCTCTCTGTGATGCCGGTGATGTCCAGATAGAGTTCCTCCACTGTGGTGTTGTGCTCCAAAGCGTTCCAGAGCTCCAAAACCCCCTCTGGACCCAGGTTATTGCCACACATACTGTATACATGAGTAAAATAATTGTGTTGCAGTAAAATACATATAGTGTAGTAGAAATGAGGGTACAAGCAGGTCTTGAAAAGTCTTAATTATTTTTTATTTACTAACTCATAAATGTTCTGTCACTTATCTGTGCCCAGGTCACATTAATTGATTAGTTATATTGCTAGGAATTATTGTTATATACAATGGGGACGTGCGGTCTTCTTACTGATATGACTGTAGAAATCTTATTAAACTGCATGGTATGTGGTATTAAAAGTTCTTAAAAAGTGTGCATCAAAACACTATAGAAACTGTTGCAGTGTAAAGGTTTGTCAAAGAAACAAAGTGTGCCTAACTTTGATCAACTACTAAGCATTTTATTTGCTAATTCATGCCTTTTATAACTGTTGCACTCAATAGCTTTAAACCCTTAATATATTTTTTTCAAAGTGGTGTTGCAATAGTTAATAGTAATAAATACTCTTTCATGACTTACAACAGCTTTTTCACTTGGCACTCATTTGATTTCAGAACTGCAGATTCTAAAAAAGCTGCTTGTCTATCCAGGCAGTTGTATCTCAAGCTGAAAAAGAACAGAAAAACATTAGGTTGACAATGTTTTTACCATCCATTCATCCATTTCTGAAACTGCTTATCATGCTCAGTCTCGTAAGGGGGCTAGAGTCAATGCAGCATGCCTTTGCTGAGAGGTTAGGTACACCTTGGAGAGGTTGTCTAACAGAGTTTGACTTCAGGGTTGTCCACACCAATAACTGTAACTATAATAATGTGAGCATCCACACTATTCGGAGCTTAGGAAAATGTATATGGATGAGCTGTTACTGCCATACCCTGGGCAGAGAAACAAAGAGAAAAACAGAAAGATGTGGGTTCATGAAATTCTCCAAAGATAAGAGTTGGAAGAAACTAACTCTCTGTTACAAGTAATTCTTCTGGTTCTGGTAATCCTATAATGTATGGCAGGTACATTTAAAATCAGTTACTCACTAGAGAGATTCACAGCGATGCAGGATTGGCCCCAGTCGGTTTAGTCCTCTGTTTCCAATGTTGGAGTAGCCTAAATTGAGCTCCTGCAGTTTGTGTGGAGAGAACTGCAGCACATAGTGTATGGCTGCACAGTCCACAACGCTCAGCTTCATTTTAAACAGGTTGAGTTTCTTGATCTCTGGTGCTGTTATGCTGGTCGCTTCCTTCATGTGGAACTCCATCAGACAGTGGAGAAGATTCAAGGCTGCCTGATTCTCGAGCTTCATGCCTTTAAACTGGTCTTGGAACCACAAACCCAGCCTGGCAGGGATGGCATCCCCTTGCTCCATGGGGGAAAGGACAAGACCATCCAACTGACCTCCCAGCCGAGCTCGGAGCATTCCCATGAAGAAGCGTGTGAACATCTGGAGGCTCTCCAGCTTGTCCATGTCGAGGTCTGTATTTTGCAGTGGTTCAGCTGTGGAGGATGGTGGACGTTGCCCAAAACACCAGAAGTCCAGAGCTTGAATTATGTCCTCCTGGCTGAAGAGATTGACTGCACAGTAGAGGGCAGCCAGATGTTCTTGAACAGTCAAGTGGAAGAAAGAAAACATCTCCGCTGTTTCCTCTTTGAGACGCTGGAGGATGTGACAGAGAAAGGTGCTCTGAAGATCAGCAGGTGTTACACCGTAGTCTTCCAGATCTGCTCTGTTGAACATGATCTTTTTCTGTAGAAGGCTTTCATAAGCCAGTTTTCCCAGACTTGTCAGTTGTTGCTTTGCTAGTGAGAGAACCTCAGATCTAGGGGTGTTTCTCTCTGCAGTCCCCCTCAGTGCATGGTGCTTGACTGCTGTAAACAGGTAACAGAAGTAAACCTCACTGACTGTTCTGGGCGGGTTTAGCTCCAAAGACTTTGAGTCACTGACATCTTGATTTCCTGAAGAGAAGAACTCAGCCATAGCAGTGCAGATGATGTAACAATAAAGAGGGATGAAGGACAGCACGAAAAGGTTGTCATTGTTTAAGATGTAACTGTAGACTTTTTCAGCAACTTTACTGTCTTTGTAGAACTTGGTGGTATATTCCTTCACTTGGTCCTCTTCAAAGCCCAGCACCACACAACATCTCTGGAAGAAACGCTTCGGAGCTTCAGTAGATGGTCTTGTCGTGAGAATGACTGATGCCTCCGGAAGAAGACTTCCCCTGATTAAAGCCAACATCAGCTCTGACACTGGCACCTTTGAACCAACCTCAATGTTTCTGTCAGGACCATTCCAGTCCAAGGAGAATTTGAACTCATCTAATCCATCCAAGATAAAGAGTAAAGTGCTTGGCGAGGTAAAAAAATCAGGTAGAGCTGTCTTCAGGTACTTGAACCGTTCTCCAAGCAGCTCCAATAAGCTCAGTGGTGCTTCAATCAGATTGAGCTCCCTGAAGCGCAGGTCAAAAACACAGGTGAATTCACGCATGTTCTTCCCAATCGCCCACTCATAGACTAGTCTCTGTACTGCTATGCTCTTTCCGATACCAGCTATACCCTTCACTTTAACCCTTTTGGGGGGTCGTCCTGATGTTCCTTGGGGGCTCAATAAATGGCACGGCCGGATGCGCTGGCAAGCCTGGTGGACATAGATGCGAGCTCGTCTGCTCGCCAGGTCAAAATACTCATGTTGGCAGCTGTCAACTAAGTCATCATCTTCTGTCACAAAAAGGTCAGTGTAGCGGATTTCAATGTGAGAAGCTGAGTTTGAAGCCTCTCCTTCGCCCTCTGAGTAACACTTTAACTGCTCTGTGCGTTTCAGGAGGGTTGTTTTATGGGCAGAAATGGCAACTGCAACGAAATACAGGATGATTGACCTAAATTACTCTTCAGCTTTCATTTAGATAAATATTTTGACTTATCTCCACCAGTTCACCTAAGATATTGACATACCTCGGATGTTGGCCAGCTTTACACTCCTGCTAGGTTTCGGTTCTTCTTTAGCTGTATAATGTAGATAATTTCACTTGAATACATTTTCAAAATATGGGAGCAAGTCATAGGAACAAATCAAATATTTATTATGACTAGAAAGAAAACACATTAGAAATAATATATATAAAATCTAGATTTTAATAAAATAATAAATCCATACCTTTAACCTCAGCAGTCAGGGTAAATCCCTTGCTCTTCCCTCTGAACAATTTAGCAATGGGGCCTTTAGCCTTCTTATCTGTGGATATCACAGGATTCATATAGTAGACAAGACATTTGATATACTGTATGTACATTTATGAGAGACTGTGTTACCTGAGCATTTTTCCTCCATAACTCATTGAATGCAAAAACAAGAGTCTACAGCCATGCCAGCAGCTCTTTTGGACTGTACTTAGGTAAGTGGTGCTTTGAACTAAACGCTGACATCCCCATGCTAATGTACTCATGGCAACATGCTGATATTTAGCAGGTACCATGTTCACTGCCTCAGCTTGATAGCATGCTAACATGTGCTTGATGGATTAGTAGAAAGGAAGATAGATGTTGTTGAGATATTTCAGTCTGGGCAAAAAGGGTCAACCGACCAACAAAACAAAAAACTTCAACTTATCATAGCTGAGCTATATATTGTTTTTGCATTTACACTCTTTCATTGCCAAAGTCAGACTTGGCAAGATATCACAGTTGTTTATATCCTTCCTGTTAATCATTTTCTCACACCTCTGTTACACAGGCAGTAAAACTTTATTGTCTATAGTTTGTTTTTTGTTTTTTTCAAGGTGCAAGGTTTTGAAAAACAACATTATTCACCTGAACTTTGAATGCACCTGATAATATAAAGACTTCACCAGTATATTAAAGCAACCTCACCTTCAACCTTTACTGGTGCAGGCTCTGGTTTACTGGCTGCATTGTTTCTGCAGTGTCTCTCCACCCAGACCTGCAGATCTCTGCAGTAATAATCCTGCACCTCCCTCAGCACTTGCAGGAACTTTTGGCTACCCTCCTCAGTGGCACACACCGTCTCTAGAGCCTGGGCCACAGCATTGGAAGGTGACCTCTCCAACAGAGACAGGTAGTGGGCAGAGGAAAGCACCTCAGCATCGCGCAGCCAACGCAGCAAGGGTGCTGGATGGTCACGAGTCCAGTTCAGCAGCAAATCTCTCTGAGACCGAAGCAATTGCTGAGCTGAGTTCATGGCTTCAGAAAATACTGTTGGGAGGAAGGCTGTAAATTAATGATTAGGCGTATCATTCAAGAGCACACTACACGGCTTTACAGTTGTAAACTTTAATTAGAAAAAGTATGAAAAAACGATTAGAAATTCTGCACAAATACTAGCACGCTCATTGATTAAAATGCTTACCTGACAGAAATATTTTATTCCTATGTTCTGTCACCTTCCCACTCGCCTAGTTTTGCCATTACAGTCATGAGTGTTTGGCAGGAAAGCTGTTTGTCTTCTGTCTTAAGGTGCAGGGAGGTGGAGTGCTATGACTTCGGCAGCAATTCAAACACAAAGCAAAAGGTCCATAGTTCAAAGAGTTGAAGTCTTTGTCCCTGCCTCTGATTTATCAGTATTGTTTGATCTTGCAGAAAAATATCAAACTGTTCTCCATTTTTATGACATATTGTGACTTCAAAATCCAATGCAATCCTATAACCTATAACTTAAAACTAGCTATAACCTTCTTATATTTGTAGATGTTTTTGTGTAGTGTACATAATTGAGCCTCTTTTGACACTTTTTGGCTTTGCTTCCAACCGTTTACATAACTGTGATGACCTACTTACATTGAGGGATATTAATTGTCGACAGAGCAACTATAAATCAGTGTCAGGCAGAAACGTTAATCATTAATCTTCCCTATTCAACTTTGTATGGAACTTTTATCACCATCACTTTTATCACACTGTAAGAGATTTGGTAAGGGTGGTCTGTGTAGACAGAGGGAATCAGAAATGAACACTTTAGTTGTTGGAGCCTTTGAGGAAATGGCCAGCAGCATGAGAGTGACTCATCCATTGTCATGTGTTGTCTCACAGATACTTGCTGAGGTCTTTCTTTCCCTAGCAAACAATTCTTAGTTCCACCACGTGAATGACTATTTGAATTTGTTGACATGTTTGAATAAATGTAAGTTTTTAAACCTACCATTGTTAATTGTAAAATTACATTTTGAGTTATGCAATTCATACATGTTATAAGGATAGATGATATTGAAAATATTGGAAGAGTAAGAGGAGGGATCAAAGTGAAGTCATAGTACCAGGAGCACAATGCAATGCTCTAACTTCCCCTTCTTTGCTCCTTTGTTCAACCTTCCCTCTGTCTGTGCTGGCAGAGCAGGGTTGCAGTCATGCCTTTGGACACTGTCTTTCTTGTGTGTCCTGTGATTTTTGGTGAGTAATTTCATCCATTATAATTTTTAAAAAAAATACATAGCTTAACATTCCTGTATGAATTTAAAAGTTATGCAATATTCAGGCATGTTAAAATCATTAAATTATGACTTGTTATCCATGATTATTATCTTAAAATATTACTGTAAGAGATAAGAGACAAATTGTCATTTTTTGTCTGTGAATGTCTCCTGCAGATTATACTGTACTGGAGGATTAGATTATATTCATAGATAAGGATATTTTCTTTCTGAAAATAATTAAATTTATGTTGTCCAAAAGTGTAAACATAAATATGCAAACATTTCCTAAAATCACCTAGATAATTATGATTTTAAAATATTTACTACATCACATCCACTGAGTAAAGTGTAGTAGATTTTCCAGAGCCAAAAGTGCAGTTGCCTTCTTCCGTTTTCTAAATATACATCTGTTGCGAAATTGTTCTGGGTCAAATTATGCATTTGCAGACAGTGCAGCAAAATACAGCAGTCCTAACCTCATGGCAGATCTATTCTTAAAATGACCTTTCTAGAAGATCTCAAGGGATTAAGCTACGCCTCCATGATTGGAAGAGAGGGCTCTGTAGCTTGGAACAGAAACTTTTTACTTGGCCATGCACTCGGGAAGTTGTCTCTGGTCTCATGGTCAAGTTAAAACTAAAAAATACATCAAGCACATAGAACATGAACATCACAATTATGAGGCACAATTAACTGGCTGGATAGCCAAATAACAAACTGACTGTCTCCCATCATTTAACCCTGGACCTTGAATAAGGCATGGTAACATCAGATCATGTGTACTGGTGAATGATTTTCTGTTCTCTGTTACAGCAGCAGCACTGTGGAGGGGGGTTCAGGCTGTCTCTCCTGTGCCCTCAGTCCCTGACCATGTCCAAGCTCTTGTGGGCTCCTGTGTGGTGATTCCCTGCTCTTTCACACCTCTAGCTCTTCATCCTCTCAGGGGGAAGAAGGAGAGGGTGGACGTCCGGTTGAGGTTCAGAGGTGGTGGTCACTTCTTCCCTCTCCGCAGCACCGCTTTTAACAGCGAGGACAGAGATCAGGCGAGCAGGGATTTCCAAGGCCGGACGTCCCTCTTTGGGCGGATTGCAGATGGTGATTGCTCAGTGAAGATCGAAAGGATAAGCCAGGATGACTCAAGGTTGTTTGAGATTGCTCTGAAGAGAGGGGATGACTTACTCTGGGGGAAGCCAAGGAGCTTCAATCTGGATGTTGTGGGTGAGTGGGGGAGTCAATGTATTGCCTCTTTCTTCTCTTATAAAAGCTGCAGTTCTTTGGAAATTTAACAACCAGATAATGTATGTGTGTCCAGGGTTTAGAACTTGGAAAACTATTATTGCATAGGTGCAGAAATATTGTATATTTGTGAAGAATCTCTGACACTGCATACAAAAGCTAAAAAACTGAGTTGAAAGATGATGTGTAGATATTTCTTCCCTTCAGGTCTCCATCCCACCAAACATAGCAATAAATAAATAAACACTTTTTATATTGAATGAGCAATAATGGTCAAGCAGTTTTTATATTTTGTCTAAAAAAATTTAAAAAAAATAGTTACATGAAGAAAATTTAGGAAATGAAAATATAAAATGAAATGAAAAAGACAAAATAAGAAATGTGGTGTCATGTTGTCTTAAATAAACCACCTGAATACGATTTTCCCCACTGACAGACACTCATGAGGTTCCTGTCATCAGTGGCATGTTGTCAGCGACAGAGGGACAGCTGGTCACCCTGAACTGCTCCGTCAGATATCACTGCCCCTCCAGACCTCCAACCCTGCAGTGGAGCTGGGAGAGAGGAGCCCAGCTGAACAGCACTGAGCCTGGGGAGGTACAGATACTCCACCCAGAGCCCCACAGGCTGATGTTACTGGCCTCTCTGTCCTTCACTGTCTCTCACAAGGTGAAACCCAGGCTCAGATGTGAAGTCAGCTACCCAGGAGCCAAAGCACTGGCTACTTCGAAGGATCTCCATGTGACATGTAAGCATAGTTTTGACTAGTATATTTGTGTTTCTTGGCTCCAGTTTATTCTAAAATCTTTTTTTGTTATTATTTTTGCTCTATAGTTTCACCAAAAGATGTAATGGTTCAGGTCCAGTCGTTGATGGTGCAGGAAGGGGGCAGCGCCTTGTTGGCCTGCTCATGTAAAGCTGACCCACCGGCGTCTGAGTACCGCTGGTCCTACATTCAACACGGCCGCACGGTGCACCTCCACCAGCGCACGCACACAATCCGGGTGTTTAACGTGACCCGAGACATGAAAGTCCGCTGCTCAGCCCAGAACCTGATTGGTCGAGGAGAGTCCCGGCCAAAGCTGCTGAACATACGATGTAATCCTCCTACCTCCAAAGGCCCTACACACATTTGTACTATTTGACAACAAGCCTTATCCGCATGTGGTTGTTTTGTGAGGCTGTCAGTGAAGCAGTCGCACTGAGCTAAAAAGCAGAGTTCACTCCCCTTTACTTCAAGTTTGTTTCACCTCTAAATGGTCTGGTGTGGTCAGAAGTGTTCTCTGCTGCACCTGTAACCACACCCAGCAGTGTTGTTACAGTGTACAGACCACAACCTGAGTACAGTTTGACGTCACTGCAATGGGGTGAAAAGTTATATCACTAGTCAGCAAAAAGATTTTAGCTGGTGTTAAGTTGTTGTTAACTTGTACCTTATGTTTTTTATAGTAAAAGCTTAATAATTAAAAAAAAGGAAACGGTTCCATATGTATAGAGTGAACACAATATGGTGGAACAGAGTTAAAATATTTTATAAATAAAAGCTAAATTCTAGTTTAAATAACACCAAGAACTTTAAGTAAATATTAAGTGTAATAGGAGTTTCAGGCAAAGTTTAAATGTGCTCTTTCGCACCCACAGATAAACCAGTCATCCTTCGGCTCTCTTCCACCTGTGTTGTGGATGATTTGGAGGTGCTGTGTCACTGTTCAGTCGACTCCAACCCGAAACCAGCAGTCACCTGGAGCGTGAATGGGACTGTTCCACCTCATGATTACAATGTGTCGGTAACATCTGAGCCTGACAAGCTAACAGCTACTCTGAGGGGCCGCATGGACAAACCACAGACTGTGATCTGCTTTGCTTTCAACGCTCTGGGAAATGACTCCCTGATGTTGCTGCAGGGTGGCGAAGGTGTGTTCTGTTTTCCACACTTACAAAGACAATAGCTCTGTCTCTTGTTTTTACACTCTGATGTAGGTCTGGTGCTGAAACATCTGTGCAACATGCCTGCAGCTTGAAGAGAATAAGCTGAAGAAAAAATCAGAAAAGGCTACAAAGAAAACTTATGATGTTGTATCTTTACTCTGCTTTTTTGTTGCCCCAGTATATTTTATTTTTCTTCACATTTCAGTGCTTAATGTGTTAATGCTTTCAGAGATCTTATTATGGACTGTCTAAGTTAAGCCATTACATTAAGCTTAAGTGACAAGCAATATGTCTGAAAGGCCTAGAGTTAAACTAGCCATGGCGGGGAGGACAAATTGTGATTATTATAATGTAGTTTTACATCATATGCTGATCCAACGCTGCTTTTTTGCCCATATACAGAGACAGCACCTTTGCTGTTGTTGGTGATACCTGCTGTGGCCATCTGCCTGGTCATATTCCTTCTGTCTCTTTTGTTCTACTGCTGCCGAAAAAGAGCTGGAAAGTATGTGAAGCCGTTCATTCCTTTAAAAGTTTACTGACATTTGTCACACTTGCTTATTGTGAGGTTCATGTTCCTGTTCTGCTCCTCTCAGACATGTCCTGAGTAGACGCCCAGCTGTGTACCCTGAAGGATTGGGAATTTATCAGGACCAGATGCCCCTCTACATTAACTGCACAGAAGTGACTCATATCTATACCAACGGCAGCTACCAACTTGTATACCAGAACTGCACACCTCTTTTTGTCCATACTAAGCAGGTATTTGATTATCTTGATCTTTGAGTGTTGGTTATGTCCTTGGCACATTGCATAGATAGAAATCTCTAATTTCTAGATTTCAGGATTGGCAACATCTGTCCCCTTTTTTTCAGATCCGTCCAATGGGCAGAAGAGGTGGGGAGAGAAGAAGAGGGGGAGAGGGTGAAGGAATAGACAGACGAGTGGGTTTGGGAGTCAGACGCACAAGAGAGGTGCAGAGTTCTGCTGTGGGTGATGCAGAGTCAGCCATCTACTTGGAGATTCTCTGAGCTCGCTGTGGAGACGTCGCATGATTCTCCTGCTATATTAAACTCCCATTAGACTTCAGATTCAAACTCAGCCATACTGATTGTAATGCAAACTTTGTTATTGTATATATTATACATCCATATCTATATGCCTCCAGCACTTCACAATGTGTGATCTCTTGAATTGCTCGCGGTGGTCTATTTCTCTCATAATTTCCATATTGAACAATTTCTGTATCTTGGCCTGTGACCTACCTCTGTGCTCTTTTTTTTTTTTTTTAATAAAAGATGAAAAGGTTTGATAAAAGAGGTTTTTTAATGATTTCATCTTGTGTCCATTCTACAACTCACACAAGCACAGACCCTCAGATTTGATTCGGTCTCACCAGTCAACTGCTCCAATCGCGTTTGTAACAGTAGCTGCAGCATGTCTAACACAAAGTGATCCTCAGGCAGTGTATAAAGTTTCTGTGGAGGGATGGAGACTGCAGCTCAAGCTGTAATGCAATTTGCAACATGTATTACATCAGTGAGGAAGAGTACCACAATGCTGACGAGAGACTATGTCTTGTCATTGCAGAAAGAGCACTGGTGTAATTAATATCATTAACAATGGCTCTGGTCTATTGGCATCACCATACATTTGGTGCCATGGAGCCTTTTTTGTGACCAAATTCTTATTAGCTCTTAATAGTTTTAACACAGAATGGCACAAGCATATGTTTGTAGAACTACCATTTACTGTAAATGTGAAGTATGAAAATAAAAAGATTAAACAAAAAATGTTGAATGAAAGAAAACAAAAAAGAAAAAAAGGAAAGAAAATACAGCAAATCAACCCACACAGTCCTTTCATCCTTACACAACATATATGTATATATATAAATATATATATATATATATATATATATATAGTATACACTACTCATGTTCATGTATAATTAAATTTTAATTTATGATATATATATGTAACCTTATCTTTTTTTTATATAAATATATAATATATAAAATATATATATATAATTTATGTGTCAATTTATCTGTTTATTTATCTTTATCTTTTTTCAATTTTTTGTGTCTTTATCTGTTTTTTATCTTTATCTCCAATTGCTGCTGTAACACCTAATTTCCCCCCTACACATCAGTTCAGTGTGTTCTGACTCAAAGAACTAAAAGAAGAGAAGGAAAGATTAGGACAGATTAGGACACTGTTTAATCCTCAAAGTTGAAGTCAAGTCAGGAATGCAAGAAATTGAGATGTAATTAATGTTAACCTCACCTGTACTTTTCCTCCTATTAGATTTAAAAACATCTGCCATGAAAATGATCTATTGAAAGATTTCTTACTAACCAAAAAAAAAAAAAAAAAGTATGACAGTGTCCACAAAAGAAAACATATTTAAAAAGAAAAATGGAAATACCTGAACAGAAACAAACGAATTTTTTAAAAACAATTTTGGTAATGGATTTGTAATCATCTCTTTAAAATGTTGCACCATAATAACACATCTGTGTCACTACCAAGTTCTACCATGAAGTTACACAGTCCGAACGATGGGAGGGCGATACAACTCTGGTGATGCACTTATTTAGATGCCGAAGAAGAACAAGGAAGCCCTCTGATTGGATGGAATTGCTGCTAGTCGGAAACTGCGTCATAGCACGACACACACACACACACACACACACCGTGCTTTTGGTGGGAATATGAGTTTCCTCATTTAACTCATAATTAAAAGTATTAATATGTGTTTTCTGGTATTTAATGTAATGCCAAAGCGAGCGGCTATGTGTCGAGTACATGACAGTTTCAAAAGTACAAGCGTAGCAGCCCTTGAGGAGTGTTAAAGTAACCAGAGCAACCAGGAAAAGTTCACTCTGCCTATTGTTTGCTAGCATGCTATCACGCTAAGCCAACGTTTTTGTTTTGACGCCGAGGCTTCATTTACTGCCACTGAAAGGACTCTTTATGTGTTTTATTTTGTGTTCACCGGTTGGTTTATTTTCACTGCACACCGGCTAATTAATGCGTCTTTAACCTGCCAAGAATCAACAACAAACATGCCAGAAATCAAACTCAAACACGTCGTGTCCTGCAGCACCGAGGACACTGTAAGTTCATTCGTCTCTTGCTTTTTATGTTGTTGACACCACCTCCCCCCCCCAGCCTTCATCCTCTCACTTTTTGTCATAATGCAAAACAGACTCACAAGGCAGACAACCTGCTGAGCTCTGACACCTACAGAAAGTGGAAAGCAGCAAGACCCGGGGAGAAGCAAACATCAGTCATTCTGCAGGTATGTTTGTTTTCTTTTTTTCTTTCCCCCTCTTACTCCCACAGGTGTTAGCCAACAGTGGTTGTATAAGGTGTTGTTTTGTCTCTATTAATGTGAAGTTAGGTTGTAGATACTTACTCTTGGAGCCAGGTGATCCAGATAATTTCATCCATATTTAAATCTACTGGGTATTACATCTCTTCTGTGTGTCCTTCTGGGACTGTGTGGTTCATGACCAATTAGAAACCACTTCTCCTTTGTTGATATAATTTTGGCCTTTTGGGAAACCCCCTTTGTCTGCATTACAGTTGTGACCTTCCTCATCTTACATACATATGTGGCTATAATCCTGCTTCCTGTTTTGACCCCAGAATATCTTGACGACAGTTGCAGTCGTCTTTATTATTCAGGCATTAGGCAGGAGACAGACATTTTAGATGTTAGACTAATGTCTGATTTTTACAACTAAGAGCAACTGGTCCCTGCTTGTCAGCTTTTAAACAATAATTATTGCGCTTTAAATCACTTTTATAAAGGATTTGCAACTTTATTATGTTCTGTTTGATTCTCTTTAAATAGTAAAGTAATAGTAACCTACTGGTAATTTTGATAAGTGGAGTTAAAATAGAATTATTCTACAGTGTCGGTATGAAACAGTCGGTCTGTGCCCACATAAGTCCTTGTATTTATGTATTAACTTGGCATAAACATGTCATTTTTAGTAGGCTCTGCTAAACAACTCGTGCTTGTCCTGTGCTGTTTTCTTTTTCACTCAGTTCGAGAAGGAGGAGCAGGTGCACAGCATCGATATCGGAAATGAAGGGTCAGCTTTCATCGAGGTGTTGGTGGGGAATTCTTCAGCTGTCAGAGATCAGGACTATGAGGTATTCTTGCAAACCAAATGAAGCACAAAGTATATCACCTCCTACTTATTGTAATTAGTATTTACTGCATATTTTGTTCCCTGTATTCTTTGATTTAAATCTCTATCTGTTTTAGGTTCTTTTGGTCACGTCTTCCTTCATGTCCCCCACGGAGAGCCGTAATGGCACCAACACGAGCCGGGTGCGTTTCTTTGGGCCCAACCAACTGCAGAAGAGCACAGCACAGGAGAAGTGGGACCGAGTGAAAATTGTGTGTAGCCAGCCATACAGCAAGGTAAGGGCCCAATCAATTAATATAAATAGAGTGTCAGCTAATGTATTATCCATTTAACTCTTAATCAACAGAATCAAAAAGTAAAACATAAACATTTTGGAATACTTTCACAGCCCTGTCACCATACAGTACAGTTACAAACATAGCACAATCCCTCCCTCTGGTTCTCCAGTGGAGTACCAGAGGTTGAAGGCTAGAGGACACTGAGCCCTGCGTGGGCCTTGATGGAGACCCAGTGTTAGGGGCTTTGGGTTTGTTCTCAGGGTGTTTGAGTGCCTGCTGGAGGTATCTTGTTGATTCAGAAATAAAAAATACCGACCACAATTTTTTTTGTATTATGAAAAATTTTATTTATGTTAATTATGAGAATAAAATCAGGGAAAATATATATATATATATATATATATATATTTTTTTAAGTGAATGCCACACTTCTGTATACATTGCATCCAAGATGATTTTGTGTGTGTTTCTACTAGAACATAGCATACGGACTGGCCTTTGTTAAGTTTCATTCACCGCCTGACAAAAATGATCCTCCAACAACCTCCCCGGTAAGTCGTTTGTCTTGTTCTCAGAAGTTGTCTATAGATGATGAACCTTGTAATCTTTTCTCTTGAGAACATGAGAATATTGTTAGCGAGTATTGATAATCTGACCCGACATTTGATGCAAGCTTTCTATACTTTGGACTGTTGGAGTTTGTGCTACTTCACATTTTTGTCAATACCAAAAAATACCAAGCCGCCCTATTGTTGACATCTTCACACAAGGTTGTTACTACCATTCATGACAGTTGGAGAAACCACACAGACCAGCAGTACACAAATAATTAGTGTTATCCTTTCATGTTGGTGTCAGCATAAAATTCAGTATTCCAAGAAGATGGTCTTTGACATGACGATGTAGTATCACATGTAGTATTTATATTTTTTGTTTTTATTGAGCTCTGGGAGGAGTCCAGCACTAAAACGTGACACAGTATTTCACTGCAGTGTTTTGTGTAGCTCCTTAATCTCTCCTGTGAACTACACAACTTTATAGCTATGAAATCATCTGTCAAGTTGAAACCTTTTTGCTATATTAAGAGGAAATGCACTCAATCCCTCTATCTTCTCTTTTGGTGCTAAACTTCTCTTTTTTCTCTCCTGTCAGAAACTGACAAAGCTGGGACAGTTCAGGGTGAAGGATGAGTCTCCTTCATCCGGGCCCAGCCTTCAGCCCGGCAGTCTCTTCTTCAGTCGGGAAAATGCAACAAAGTCCAGCACTGCACTCAAAGGTAAATCCATTTATCCATATTTACCGGCTGCTGAAGCTCAATTAAATTCTCTCAGGCCCTTGAAACAATACTAATCACATAGAATGATTAAAAATGCCATTAGGCTTTATTGAAAGCTACTTAAGTGTGCCACGAGACAAAAGGGAAGAGATTATTTCTTTATTATCAAGCCACTTTGTTCCCTCAATGTCTCTCTGCACTTTTCTCTCTTTAGAGTCTCCTCAGAGTCAGAAGTTGAGTTATGCTGCCGCTGCTCTGCAGACTGGTGGCAGCTCCCACCCATCAGGCCAAGCTTCCTCCTCCAGCTCTGCCTCACCTCAGGTACTAAACATCGCCATCATCTTTTTTTTTCTTTCTTTTTTTCTTTTTTTACTGCAGGACAGCCATCAAACAGCTGTCCCCATAATGAGCACTTAGAAAACAGGAAAGCATAGAGAGCATGAAACGGGCAATACAGCTTGTAGTAGAAGGAAGGGCTCTGAACTTATTGTGAGTTTTAATTATCACATCATGTCACAAAATCAAGTGTTTGACCTAATAACTGATGTGTATTTAGATCACTCTTCATATTCACATCACAGTTTTTGACATCTTAATTAAGCTTTCAAATGATAATCTCACTATCAGTATAGTAATAACTCAAGCACAGGTAAACCAAAAGTTGTCTGACATATTCAACACACTCTTTTGCCAAAAATAGTCAGCATCTTAATAATAAGTAAGGAATGTGTTCCAATGTTTTCTTCAGGTTGAAAATCTATATGTTGACATGTTTTTATGCAGATTTTTCTGGACTCCCTTCACCACAAACTCAAAAACCCCAGGATGTATATGAAAGATGCATGAATACATTTCAGTATAAAATATACTCATTACTTTCCTCTCCTTGTTTTTCAAAAAAAATTCCTTAGTTGGTAAAATCCAATTTATTGAATGGTTTAGCTTTTCATCAACTTTAAAAAAAAACAGCTCAACACTTTGTCAGTTTGACTTTTGAAATGAAAAGATGAATACAAAAAGTTATATTTGGGTGAGCTGCACAAATACATGTCTATGCATCGGAAAGTAGTCTAAGAAGCTATCCCAGTCATTGCAGTTCTATTTCCAATTTTCTGCTGTAATTGTTTCTCAACCTTTTTTATAAAGGCTATAATAATCTACAAATTTGCAGAATGATTGTTTGCATACTGTGTGGCCAGACTCTGTACAATTTTATTTGTCAGATGACCTTCAGGCATTAAATGAAATGGAAGTGTAGACAGTTTGTAGGAGTCTACTTTCTTTGGCTCATCATCCAACTGTATCTCCTCATACACACCTGTCTTAAACATACAGGCACATGTTATTTTTTACATTCAGAAAAGGTTCCAACATTTTGGTTACTCACATTAATTCTTTTCTCATAGCCACCAGCAAAAAGAAAATTTGAGTTCAGCAAAGAGCGACAGTCTGCCTCTGGCCCTCCACCCTCGAAGAAAATAAGCCCATCTGGCTCACCTGAGGGCAAAGCTGTGACCCCCAAACACAAGCTGAGCCCAGCCAGCACATCGAGCCCCAGCACTGCGAAAGGTAACTCACTTTAGTGTCTGAAAAACACATTATATTTCTTTACCTCGACAACTCCCTTGACTTTTACAACTGTCCCTCCAGCTTCCCCGGCACAAAAGTCTGCTGACAAGAAGCGGGAGTCCCAGTCCAAACCCGAACCTAAACCCAAACAACAGAAAGCTAAATCCCAGGACATGCAGACAGTCCCATTCAAACGGATGATGGAGGGTGTGGTGTTTGTCCTCAGTGGCTTCCAAAACCCCTCCAGAGGGGAGCTGAGGGAAAAGGCTCTAGACATGGGAGCCAAATATCGACCCGACTGGACACCCGACGCCACACACCTCATGTAAGTATCAAACAGGAGGCAGTGAGGAAGTATGTGAAGACTAGGGCTGACCCGAGTGCTTCGAAGCTTCAACCGTTGCCATGGTAATCTGTGTCTAAATCAGTATGCGAATGCTTCATTTTTATTACATAGACTTTACTTGGGCGTGCAGCCCAGGTATGTAAACAGCCAGCAACCCATTTTAGCGTTTTGCAGAGAAGCACATGCACAGAGGGAAAGAAATGAGGCTGGGCAAGGCAAGCTGGTGTTTGCAGATGAAGAGACTGGGGTGTTGGTGTGTGAGTGTGTGTGGGAGAGAGCAGACTGAGCAGATTAAAATAGTTTGCTCTGCATCTCTGTCTCATCAACCCCTTCAGAGCACATATATATCTCATATGAGCTCCGGACCAGAGTTGCCCCCTCTCACTCCACCCCTTTCAAAGCTTCGACTATTAACGGGTCATTCTCACTGAACCTTTGAAGCCCAAAATGGTATTCGAGACAGTCCTAGTGAAGACTGTGTGCTTAAGTTCTCCTTTGTTTACCGTTTATCACCATTTATGGATTAATTATTGTACAGCTTTAGCTTAGTATTGTAATACTGCATGTGTTATGTTGATACAGAGAAGCTACTAACTATATATTTTATTGTTACATATATTTTAAATGTACAGTGCAGCTTGTTTAAAATACCTGCAGTGATAAAGTAGTCCACACAACATAGTCTGACTTGTTTGTGCATAGATACATTAATATCCAATGTAATTTATTGACAAGGTTGTTTTGTCAGAGTACATTATTTTGGTTTTTGCCAGTTTTCACAGAAAAACACATCAACAAAATCAGATGTTTATATTCTCCCACATCAAAACGATGTTGCTGCAAGGGAAACTGTTTACAATAAATTAAGTCCTCTGGTGGCAAGGACAGCTTAGAAATATGCCTCTGTAAAGAGAAAGTAGAGAGATAAATGGGGAGCAAATGCAAAATAGTTGCAGATAAGCCAAAAGATCAATACACAGTCAAACTGCAGAACGCTGCCAGATTAGATTAAAGAAAGATGAACAGAATGAAAACTTTCACTATAGATAAAACAAAAACTGACTGTTGACAGGTTTCTATGGAGAAAATCATTCTCAGTTTGAGAAAAAATCAAATATTTCATTGCTGTACAGCATATCATAAATTGTTTAAAATTGAAACTGTTGCTGTAGTGAAGTTTAAGTTGTGGGGAAAAAACAAATCATGTATCAAATAATTTTGATAAATGACCAAATCACAGTTCTTTTATATAAAGTAAATGATGTTCTTATTTCTTCTTCCGGAGATGTTCTTCCATGTGTGATTTCTATCTGTAGTTGATTTTCTATCATTGAAACAGATTACAGGATTGTATAACAGCCCTGTTAGCACTCTCAGTAATACAGTTTGATTGCATCTTGATCTCTGCTATCAGAGCAGACTGTTGCCCTTGTCAGCTTCTTTAGTGATGTAACCGTGTGTCTGTGTGTCTGTGTGTCTGTGTGTCTGTGTGTCTGTGTCTGTGTGTGTGTGTGTGTGTGTGTGTGTGTGTGTGTGTGTGTGTGTGTGTGTGTCACTTCTCTTTCGGCCCATTAATCTCCAGCTGTGCCTTCGCTAACACCCCCAAGTACAGCCAGGTGAAATCAGCAGGGGGCATCATCGTACGGAAGGAATGGGTAATTGACTGCCATAAGAGGAAACAGAAGATCTCCCATAAACGGTAAGACAATTTGAAATAAAAAACAAACTAGTGGAAAGAGATGATTTTATAGCAATGTAATCATGTACTGTAATGATCCTTGTATGGAAATTCAGACCTGTAGCAAGGCCTGGACTCAGCAACAGCTGGATGGGATTGGGTGTCTTGTTAAACAGACACTTCCGCAGGGTGACAGGCTGGCTTTAGCATGGGGCATGTGTCCAGTGTATGAATCCACATCTGATTAATACTTTTCTCTTAAGCCACGTCTGTACCTCTACGTAGTACAATCTGTGCACAGCACTCACACTGATTGAAGCGTCCAAAAATACATCTCTCACAGCAGTGATGCCCACTTGCTACAGAGAACATTGTAACCTTGAGCAGCTGATGCCTGCTGTGATCACAAATTCAACCCAGCCAGCTTCAGCAGCCCTCTAATTATATGCCTCATTACAGGGGGAGCTTTTGCAACATCAAGGTCTTCTATCATTGCTTCACATGAATCTGTGTCTACTGAATAATGTAGAGCAGAATACTCATCTTGGGCAATGGAAGGTCCAGATTAATTGGAGTAGTACTGTACACATACTGTATGAAGCTTTGCTTCATCATTTAAGAAATTATTTCATACTTGTTGCTCCCATGATAGTGTCTGGCTGGAAGATGAATCAATTTCCAACCAGGCTTACTCACTGCTAGGTTATCCAAGGTAATGGAACTCGTAAGGCTCAGGGTTAGCAGTATGCAGAACTACTGTTGTGGTAGAATCAGTCCTACTTTCAGACATTTATATTGTTCTTTAGCCACTTTCAAACATAGAATCAGTAAAATGGCTTCTGGAGTCGTGGCTCCAGCCTGATTAGTACTGTGCATGTGCGACACTCAACAGAGGTAAGAAGGAAACAAGATGGCTCACTCGCAACTTCCATTATCAATTCTGAAATAAACAATGGGTTATGATATATTTCCTTTTTTCTGTAAAAAAAAAAATCTTATTCCTTAGTATTAGCTAAGGTAGCATTAATGCAACTTATGCTAACTTTAATTAAGTTATCTAAAAACTTTTGTCAATGCATGTCTCACACATGTATGCTTATAGATGTGAGGTACATGTCATATACCTCCAGAAGACAATAAAAATTGTTTTAGAAAAGTCTTAATCAATAAAATTCTGGACTGTATTTTCTGGAGCTGAAGTAAAGAGTGAGTCATCTTGCTTCCTGCTGATCTCTACTGAGAGTCACACATTCACAGGACAGGCCTGTCAATTGGACAGGATGTACATATCGGGCAGTCCAGCCAATCATAATGTATTGACATGTTTGATTATCTGTTAACGCACAACCTTGATTAGATCTGGCAGGCAGAGCACATCTGGTACCTACTGATGGTAATGACACAGCCAGAAATAGAATAGAAGAACATAGGCAATAGAACTATTTGAGTTAAGTTTGATATTTGATATTGTGAGACTGTGTGCCACTGTATCAAATTCTATGCTATCACTACTGGCTTCATCTGTCTGATAAAACTATTTGCTCTTAGTTTTTCTGACATAAGTTTCCATTGCAGAAATGTTCCATAATGACTGTTGCATCACACAATATTCAGAATTGGGCGCGAGAGAGGGAGCTTTGAAGTCGTATTTTTATCCTTACCGTGGTGATTTGGAGAGTATTGACATCAAGGATGAAGAGTGCTCACAGTTCTCTCACAGGCGGCATCAATCATGGATTTGAGAACGTATCTTGTAGTTGAATGACTGTGTATGAATGGATGATTGATGATGATCAGCAGTTGGGAAGGAGAGCTCACCCATCTTCCAACTAGTGAAATCCTGTAGAAACCTTAGATCAAAAGTTTTATCCGCTTTATTATTTATTATATATCACACATCCGCTGCCTATTTTTATACAGCCAAACAGTGCCAATTCATAGTTCAGATGTGCCTGTGGCTGTCTTTTTTAATGCCTACTTTTGCTATGTCATAAGTAAAGTATTTTAATGAACTTTGGAGCTAAATAGTCTGACTGATTTTCCAAGCCTTTCTTTTTCTCTTTGTGCCCTGCACTGGAACTGATTTTATTTCCTTATTCATAAGAAGTCATAGTTAAATTAGAAATGTGACAGCATTCCACTCAGAGTTTAGCTGTGTAGGAAGGGTTTCAGAAATATTTCTAGGTCTAATCCACTCATATTTATTTTTTGTAAATGACCTCCTCATATTTTGGTATGTATTAATTTCATGAATATCTCTCATCACTTTGTTGCATGAAACATTTGTGTTTAGAGCCGAAACAATAGGTTGATTAGTCAACAAGAAAATTAATTGGCAAATATTTTGATAGTTGATTAATCTTATAATCTTAATTACTTTAGCATAAATGCAGAACAGTCGCTGATTCCACCTCAGTCAATGTGAGGAATTTCTGGATGTCTTTGTCTCATGATAGTTAATATTATATATATATATATATATATATATATATATATATATATATATTTTTTATTTCTTTCAGAATTAGTTTTCGTTTCAAAGACAAAACAAATCTAATTGTCAGATTAATCAATGATGAATAAAAAAAGTCAGATTGCAGCCTCAATTGAGTTGATAAGTACACAACAGGAACAGTCACAAAAGTGTTATTAGTGTGCCTTCTTTAGGATATAATTAGTAATCTTCATATGTCATTTCAAAGAGATAATTGTCATCCAGTTATAACCGGATAAATCTGGTGATAAGGTGCACAGAAATAAATGTTTTTGCTCATGTCTTCAAAGCCAGATATGAAAACGGTCAGAGTTATATTTTGATTGGATTATTCTGGACAGCCACGGTTTGTATATGAGCTGAGGCTGAGAGAAAGTAATGTGGAAAGCGTTTTAAATAAATACTGCCAAAGGGCGATGGCACCACAACGCTATGGTTTTCTGAAATCTGATCCTTACTTTAAGATTCTCAAAAAGTGCATTGAAATGAGAACTTGGCTGCAGCCTGTGTCGTCATTCTCCCTCATGCTTGCTTTTCTCAGTCAATTTCTGATGGTGCCGAAGATCCCTCACCCTCGTCGTCCCCCCCTCTGCTCCCCCCTCTCTTGTTGTCAGAATAATCCATTCCCCTGCCCAGCACCACTATTGTGCAGCACGTGGAGTGTGCAGCTTTGATGATGTATCCTTTATTTAAAAGCTGCATCTGCTATGGGTAATTAAAGGGACCACTTACTTTGATGATGACAAGTGCCCAAACAAATACACACACTCACACTCTCAAACTGTTGCTCCATCATGCACACAGACACTTTGTCCTGAGCATCTGGAGGCAAATGCACAGCTTCATTCAGCTCCTGACAGGCATACGTAGTGTGTAGTGTATATTAGAGAGATTGTTACATCAGCTAAGCAGCCCAGAAATGCTTTCTCCATAGTCATTATCCAATCAGTGAGGATCCAGAGATAGACAAAGAGAGAAGAGAGCAGAAAATACTCAAGCATCTCTACAGCGTCCCATTGCAATAGATCTGAATAAGTAAACAAATTTCTCATTAAAACTGAGGCTCTGCTTCAACATCCACATAGGAATTGGAAAATACTTAGCATGCTGCAGCCAAAATATCAGCACCAACACTGCGTGATTAATCTACGGCGCGTTAATCTAATTGACAGACAAACACCTAAAAGTTCCTGTCTGAAAATATTCACTGCATCCTGAAGTGTACAAAGCCAAGACTGTAAAAAGAAAATTGTAGTGTGCTGCAACTAATGATGGTTTTCTTCATTGAGTAGTGAAGTGCTGATTCTTTTCTCATTTGCTCTGTTAAATGTCAGAAAATAGTGAAAAAGTTTTTCCAGGCCTAGATCAGCTCTAGATAATTGCAACATTTTTCAACAAAGCATTTAAACAAACATATTTTGATTTATTTATTTAGTTGGTGTAAAGTTCAAGAACCAATAAAATGTTTTGTTTTTGTTTTGTGCTTTCTGTTAGATCTTCAACTGATTTATAGAAACTTGTAACTTGAAATAAATTAGACTTGAGATGAATAGACTAGTGCTGAAACAATTAGTTGATAATCGAAAAAAAGAAATGGAGATGAAAGTTGATGATTGAGTTTAGCTTTCCCAAATGAGGATTTGCTGCTTTTATCTGCTTTACAATGCATCATTATTGAATGCCTCTAGGCTTTGAACCTTTGGTGAAACAAAACAAGCAATTTGAACATTTCACCCCAGGCTTTGAACTGCCTTGCCACCCTGCATAATAACATCACATAACAAAGTAAAAGCAGATATCTTTACTGGTTTTTATCCAAAAAATAAAGGGAAACTAATTGTAGCATGCAAGAAAAGACACAATTATATTGGTAGCCATTTACAGTATACATGCAAATAGCTGCTCTGGATTAATGAATTATGAAAAAGGGTAGTCTCTAGTATAACATGGCTTTTCCCTCTCAGACAAACTGTATGTGTGTGCAGTAAGCAGAGCAGATCAAGCTTGTTGGTCTGTTTTTGAGGTGAGGACACTTACTGTCTCGCCCACAGTTTCCCTTTTTCATTTTCCAATTTCCTGGGCACTGGGTTTTATGAAACAAGTAAGCATAGGTCAGTAATATGTCTCACTATAGCGTGAGCAAAAATTATTACACCCGAACGCTGGTATTTCGACTCTCTGCACCTCACACTTAGGAGCTGATAATGTCCAGGTGGATTTATAGTGGCCTGAGGAATATATGGAGAGGGTGGGGAGAAATGTCACATCCTCATTGTACCCTTTCTCTGCGCGCGTGAGTGCTTGAGGGAGTGTTTGCTTGTTGGTCTTTCCTGTTTTCCTGCATGTCCCATCCATTTCCTGTATTATTATCACTTCTGTTACGTGTTCTCTGTGGAATTTATTGGAACATTTGTCTTTTTATATCTCCCCACGCTCCCTTACCCTTTGCAAAGGAACATTACGCATGTTTTATTTGATTGTTTAATTATCTGCCAATGTGGCTATGTTTGCACATATTTGAATAGATTTTAATTAAATTTTGCGGAAAGTTCAGCTATGGGCAAAAAAATCAAGTACATAGTTTTTGATGTGGCTTCAATAATTCTTACCATTGCTAAATTAAAATTCTAACTAACTTAAATGTGAATAATATGAAGAACTTGGAATTTCTAAATGATTTCATTATTAAAATAGCGACTTTATAGGATTGCGTTTCTTTGACAGATGTATCCTGTCACTCAGATGAGTAGTCTAGTTTCACCATGTGCATATATTTAGATTAAGTAGAACTTGATGTCACATAGCACTTAAAAAATATAAGCAAAGTGTCTTACCTTGACCTCCAAAATGGTCAATATGACACTGGATTTTACTCACACCTGCGATGAAGTCTGCTGTCCAACAGACCAAGAGCAAATTAAATGTCAGTCAAGTGTTTGGTCTTGAGAAGGCCACACCAGCGTTTGTCCTCATTTTTTGTTGCCTTTGGTTTCCCAAGTAGACACAGTAGGGCTAAATCTCAGTATTTGGTTCACTTCTGTAAAGAAAACTAGATGTAAAGTCGGTGTCTAATAGAACAATGTTCCCAGTTCCTGACAAGAAAACACTGAAGAAGCCTATGAGGATTGTATGATAGTTAAACATTAAAAAAAAAAAATCATGATATAGACAGAGAATTGTATAAAAAGTTCCCTAAACAGGAAATAATCTGCTCAGAATTCCTCTAAATCACTGGTTGTACACAAACTTCTTGCAAAGCATTGTGTTTGAACCAGGCTGACGCCTTTTTAGAGGAGTTTGCTTTACAAAATCAGATTGTTCCCCAACCCTCCTCCTGATGGCGTGTGTGAAATGCAGTGGCCTTGTAAAAAGGCAGCTGACAATTTGGCCATCCTCTTGTACCAGCACTGTTGTACTTTACAACAAGAGCTTTAGGTAGTAGGTGCAGCAATACTTCTTGTAGCATGCAGTATACAGCTGGAGTGATGTTTTTAACACCAAGACAGTGAATGTCTGGTGAAAAATATTACCTCCACTTTGAACCTTGCTTTGGTTCCACTATTTTCTGACAAAGGCCCACTGCTGTTTGAAACATTGTACAACTAAAGCTGATTGGGAGTGAGATATATTGTGCAGGCGTTGTTTTCCCTCTGGCCTTTAATCATCCTGACACGTTTTCTACACCCGTTTTTTGTCTTCCTCCAGGTATTTGATGGATGGAGCAGAGTCGAGCTCGGAAAGCGAAATGGAAGTGGACGATGAGAGTGAAGAGGAAATGAACACAAAGGTAAAAAAAAAATTAAGTGAGCATATAAATAATGATGTGATGAAGAATCTTTTCCTGTCTGTAAGAGTCTGTTTTAAAGCTCTGTCCATGCTGTTCTAGCAGAGTCCACAGAAACAGGAGAGACAAGTGACCCCCAAAAAGACCCCGGAAAAGAGGAAGGAAGATGATGAGTATGCAGGCTCCACTGATGTGGATGAACCAGGTTTGCATCAAACTACTTTAATAGGAAGTCCCACTGTGCAAAAATGTAACTGAACTTTACCTGTTTTTTCATTTAGGATTCAGTCCACATCAGCATTACCACTTCAGTGACTTCACACTTCTCTTTCTTTCTGTACTTTCTGTACAGTTGTTGGGGTTAAACAGAAAGAACATTATTGTTCTTAAAAGTGGCAGGATGACAGCCTTACAAAATCTTAAATTGTGTTTTTCAATTGACTTTTACTTGACAGGCGGAAAAGGTGAACTGATAGTGTGAGAAGTGGGCGGTTGGCCCATTGCAATAGAGGAAATGGAAGAATGACAGCCAAGACCAAAGAGGCACTTAGAGTTTAGATAAAGTGCGAGTGGAGAGCAACAAACAAAAAAAGAAAATTCAATTCTCCATTGTTTTGAAGGTTAAAACCAGCTGTATCTAAGTCATGTAGACCAGCTTCTTTATTTGAGTGCCTTTTTGAACTCACGTAAAATGAACTTGAAGGGAACAGTTCAGGTGATGTACCATAAATTCTCAAAGAAAAAGCCTGTATACAAATAATAGAACCTATAACAATAATTTAGTCTTGCCTTACTCACCACACCACTAGGCGTTTGTTTTATGTGTGATATCTTCACTAACTCATTCTCAACAGTTATTGGATACATCTCTATAACATTTTGTGTGGAAATTTGTTCTGTTCAGACCATGAAACCTGAAGAGTTAGGTAATGTTTACTTTTTCCTGAGGTTTTCTTTGGTTCAGTGTTATGTCTCCACAGCTATTGGATGGATTGGCATTCTGAATGGACATTCATGTCCTCACAGAATAAAGACTTGATGATATCCTCACTTTTACTCTTGTCCACCAGAGGTGTCAAAATTAACTTTTTCTGATTCTTCGGTTTGTGACCAAATACTTGGATACCCTCATATACACTTTGTGTATGAGTGAGTGAGTGCTAAATGGCAAATGTTAGCATGCTAACACGCCAATATAAACATTAACATAAGTATCCTAACATTGCCATTGTGAGCATTTTAGCATGTACCTGTTAGTGTTTATAATTAAATGATCAATTTGGGCAACAGATTAACAAGTAACGGCAACTTAACACAGATATCTGTAGCAGAAAAGCTTCTAAACAAAAATTCCATAAATTAATCTTTTTGTTTTTGTGTCTGGAAATCAGGGTTTATAATTTGTTCTCTCTATGTACTCAATTTACAAATTGAAACAGATAACACTTTACATCTGCACTGCCTCAGGGTCACCCACCACAAATAAACTTTGATGAGGATGAATAAATAGGAGAGACAGGAAATAACCCTTTCTCAGTCAGAGGAGGAAACAACACACCAAAATATAAAAAAAAATGTATTTACTTACTTAGCTGAATTGTAAAGATGCAAGAGCTGAATTGTAATTGGCTGTGACTCATGGGAAGTGATTCATACTCAAATAAGTAAAGAGGGAGGGAGGGTAGCACTGAAGCTGAAGAGGACTGAATGAATTGAGAGGGGCAAGGGGGCGATGTGAGAGCCCAGGGACTAGACAAAAGGGATCACCTTTATGAAGCACTTGGAAATGGATGTGGTGACAACGCCAGCGTGAAAAGGACAAGACTATAGACGCTGTTTGAGGGAGAAGCAAGAATGGAGGGAAGACGTAATCACTGTGAAGGGACTTGTGCATGATTCTCATTTCTATGTTAATGCGAGGCCACAAGTAAAGTGCCGGGATGCATCAGTAAAGAGACACAACAAATACTGACCACCAAACACACACAAGGAGACGGCATTTTAATTAGAGCTTCTCGTATCTCTCTCCCCACCCCAGCACAAGATTGTATGGTAATGGCAAGTGTTATAGATGCACCCTTTTGAACTGCATATATAGGCTCACGATAGCAAGATTAAACTTTTCCCCAAATGACCAGAAATTTGAAATTTACCCATGTCCATTTGATCATCATAGTTAAGTAGTTTCAACATGAGGGCCAGAGTGCAGTGATGGCATTTTAGCTACTACGATATGGCAACAACCTTGTGTTGTCAGTGAACTGACACGGTAAACTATAAATGCATGAAATGTTTTAGACGTTCATCATTTTCTCCAAGGCATTAAGATAAATCGGACCTTTTTATGTTAATTGAACCATACTGACAAATGAATGCTTCATTTCACAGGTGGTGGTGATGAATCTGCAGTGGACACGGAGGACGAGCTACAGAGGTAAACAAAACCAATAATGTCAATGATGCAGATTGTAAAATCGATGTGGACTACTGAGTTTGTTCTTGCTTGTCCTTAATGGTTGTTGACTCCTTCTCTGCTCTTATGTTGCTCCAGTTGTAAAATAACCATACTATTCTGTCTAAAGTCAGTAATTCCACTTTGACTTGAGTTGACTTTTGATTAATAATTGCACAGTAAGTTAAGCCATGTGAGCTTGCTTAGTTTTTCCTCGTAAGGGAATCTCTGAGAAAGCCCTCATCACTGAATTGCGGTACCAAGCAGCCACTTACTCACAAAAGTCTTTCTTCTGATTTTACTTGAAGTTACCCTAAATGAATACTAATGGCCAAACTGTTGGCCAAAACAACATTATGAAGTGATAATATGTGAAATAAGAGTTGTGTGTACAACTCGTTCCACTGCCCCCTGAGGGAACAAATATAATTGAATACCAGAGGATCACTGCTTTAAAAATAGTCACTAAATTGCAAAGGGACTGGTAGTTGTGGGTGTATTCATAGTGGAATATATAACTTAGGAACTTGAATGCACGATTATCTTCAGAAGAGCTCCTTTTGTACTTACCTGGTTCTGTTAAGCCATGACGGTATAGTAACAGCAACAAGAGTACATGCTGTAATAGTTTTTCTTTCATGTTAGGCTTTTAGCTGATGGCACATATAGAGTGACTTAGAACAGTGCGTTCAATTTGGCTTTTCAAAGCTCTCTTTCAAAATTCTTCCTTCGACAGAGAACAAGGCACCAAGCAGGTGGGGTTTCTTCTTTTGACAGACAGCCATAGAACCATGTTATAACAAGTCCTTTTTCTGTCCTTGCAATAGGGTGGAGAACGAGAGCAGACAGAAGAAAGCAGCATCAGAAAGGAAGATGGTGAAAGAGGAGGATCCATACGGGGGGTCGACAGATGAAAACACAGACACTGAGGCTGAGCAGGATCATCCCATCCCTGAGCTACCAGGTATGTCTGTCTTTGTCCTTATCTCTGTGTCCTCTTGCCTCTTTTGTCTGTTCCTGTTGCTATCACAGGAACAGACGTCCTACCTTCCTCGTCGGACATTGCCAACACTGACAGAACGTAATTGGACGGCTTTTTTCCTTTTTCATGAAGGCCACACACAAATGTCAAAGTGTGCTTCACTCTGTTTCTTTGGTGCTTTGCTCCTTTATCAAAAAAACACCTATAATTACTCCTAGATATTGTGTAGTCATCGACTGCTCCTTTCTCCTCCCATTTTCTCATTTCTTTCAGACTTCTTGACGGGAAAACGCTTTTTCCTCTACGGTAAATTCCCGAACAACGAGAGGCGCCTACTGCTGCGATACATCGTCGCTTTTAACGGGTGAGAAAGACTTCTAGAAGTAACTCATTACAACTTGAACTGGTCATGGGAATTTGCGGTGAAAAAGGATTTAGCTGCGGTTAAGTGTTTGTATAAAAACACAATACTGTCTTTGCTCTAGTGCGATTGAGGACTACATGACAGAGAAGGTGCAGTTTGTGGTGACCAGTGAAGGGTGGCATGACTCCTTTGAAGACGTGAGTTGAGTCCTCTTGTCTCTCTCCCTTCTGTGTTACATTTCTTTGGCAGCTAAATGATGATGTCTAACACAAGCTTTAAAACATCTGTGTGTATGTTAATGTGATTATTTCACCCCCACAGACAAGACAACTTTGGGAGGCTATTTTTTTCAGGAAAGTTGATGCTCAATTATACAAAGAGCACAGCTAAAAAAATCTCTTTTCAAAAAGCCAGAGAGGAAAAGAAACATCCTTTGAACATGTGACACCAAACGCTACCAGCACAGAGACTTCTTAGCCATTTTCTTTTAAGCAGTGAGCACTTATCACTTTGCATGGTATAATCAAATGAAAGCAATGAAACAAATTGGGAACCTGAGTGTTTTAGCCTTCCCAGTGAAAATGCAGCAACGTTGGGGCCAAGAGGCTTTTGAATCTGTTTGAAATTGTGGGTCAGAATTGGTTTTCAGCCATTTGAGGGCCTTGTTAGCATCTGAATTAGCAGTTTTAGTTATACAATCCGAGCTTTCAGTTTTTCAAAGGCTTTATACCTCCTCCTATCTGTCCATTTGTAATGCAGGAACACTTCATGACCTCTCTGTGCCTCTCGCTTTCACTCTCACTTCCATTACAGGCGCTGATGGAGAACAGCAATCTGAACTTTGTCAAACCCACATGGATTTACGCAATCAATGAACGACAAAAGATGCTGCCGTATCAACCCTACACTGTCGTCCCCTGAACAGTGCACTGTATGTACAAACAAGGATGTGCGCAGACACTCGCGCGTCACATCCTGACCAAGAAGCAATGGAGAAAGCCGTATACACACATTTTGACTTTTTCAGATTCACCACTTCACCTACATAAAAGCAATAAACCAATTATAGTTCATTAATGCTTTTATATGGTTTTATACTTGCTATTCATGAAATGTCTTCAGTCCTCGGATGTTTTCATCACAGGTGTTCTCCCCTTTTTGGCCAAGCTGGGAAAAAAAAGTATATTTAAATGGCGTGTGTGGACGTTAATGTTAGTATTAGGGTTAGATTTATTATTAGCTTTTAATTTGAAGGTTGTTAGCTCTTGCATGGCCAGAAAGTAACATCTTCATCATCGGTGTGCCGCTCAGTCACTTTGGCTTCATGAACAAAGCACCCACTTCTCTCTGATTCAGGACTTGTTTGAATTTCTCAGTTCCTGTGCTGCAGTTTGCTGCCGCTCACCTCGGCTACCTCAGGCTCCGTCTGGAATGAGTTATCACCCTGTCCTGACTGCCAGCGGCACTGATAAGACTCACACTTGTGTAAGCGGGCAGACCATTATGAGACCAGCCCAGAGTCAGGTGAAAAGTGCCAGTTATATCAGGCTGCAGCCACCAAAAAAAAAAAAAAAAAAAAAAAGAACACAGAACGACTGTGTTTTTTTCATTCTAGAAATGAAAATGAATACTGGGTTTGTTTTTCTCCTTTATTTTATTAAAAATGTCATGAGTGTTAAATTGATGGATTTCTGTGTGTTGTGAAAGATTGATATGAGTTGTGTTTTGGTTTTGTTCACGTTGGGTGATTGATATTATAGCCGATGGATTGGCTCGACAGGTGAGGATGTGAACAGACTAAGACACGAGACGATGTCGGTGTTGGCTGTTTGCTTGTCAAAAGCAGCCTGTTAAAGTCTCTACCCTCAAGTGTTTTTTTTTTTTCTTTATGGTTCTTAATTATTTTGATTAAATAAAAAATGAAAAATTGAAGTAAATGTTTTTTTCATTTTTATTCACCAAGCTGTCTGTCTGTCTGCACTTAGCTGCTCTCATTCCTTCCTACGGTCTCCTCCTTGTGTTTGCAGCTTGAGAGGCACTCTCTTCCTTTTCCTTCCTTCTCTCATCTCGAGCCCTCTCTCCTCTCTCTAATTTACTTCTCATCCTGCTTTGCGCCCTGGAGCCACTGGGTCTTCTGCTCTTCAGTCAAGGGGATTAGAAAGATGGAATGTGGTCTAGAGACAGGGGAAGGAGGGGGGTGGTGGTTACAGGGGGAGAGAGGCTGCAGGAAAGATGGAAAGGTGTGGATGCATTTTTTAAAGAAGCCAAGGATCAGATTCTTCTATTGTACTTGTTTTGTTTGGCAAATTCACAGACAAACCAACGAGTGTGAGGCATGTTAATGTTGGTACCGCTTCCTGCAACCTTGTAACCTTGTGTCAGGCACAGATTCGCTTTTCATTAAAAGGAGAGGACAAGGTCAAATCCGTTTATGCCTGGAAGAAAGGAAATTTACAGCAGCTAACAGCATCATCCTCACAAGATGTCATATTTCATGTAAAGGCATAGCTGTCACCAAGATGGCAGGGAAGATGGGCTGACTTCAAATTGTCCCATTTGACAGGTCAACTTTGTTCAAACTGCAGTTTCCACCTTATTCTTGTCACCTTGATCTCTTCTAGTTAGATTTATTCTTTGCTTTTAGCATTTTTATATCTCTCGTGAATCTTAGCAATAACCTTGCCTGGCTGCTAATACAACCAAACATTGTTTGACTCTGTAGTTTTAATCCTCATCATCACTGGCACACAGTATTGAGTGTCAAACGATAAATGTTTTTCTTTAATTATAAGATTTCAGTTCTTTATTCCCTCTGATACTTTGTTTTCCCTCTTCTTTTTCGCCATCATTTGGTTCTTCCTACAGTACAGACTTGAATACTAATGCAAAAAAGTGTTTTGTATTTTATATTTGTCATTGACTTGGATCACTTTCATTGGTATCTTATTTCACTTTGACTTTAAAGGTCCAGTGTGTAACATTTAGGAGGATCTACTGACAGAAATGGAACATAATATTCATAGGTATGTTTCATTAGTGTAAAATCATCTGAAAACAAGAATCGTGTTTTTGTTACCTTTTAGAATGAGCCATTTTTATCTACAGAGGCCGCGGGTCACCTTCCGTGGAGGCCGCCCTGTTGAACTGCCATCTTTCTAGAGTGGCCCAGAATGGACAACCCTTAACTGGCTCTAGATGGTGTCATTTTTCACAGCCACTGTAGTTGGAAAGGAGGGTGAAACAAGTGAGTTAAAATCTGCAACTACAGCGTTAGATGCCACTAAATCCTACACACTGGACCTGTAATAGCTGAAATCTACTTTCAATGTTGTAAGACAATAAAACTGAAAGATTTCTAAAAGGGTTTGGTACTTTTTATTAGCACTGTATAAGGCAAACCACTGAAACTTAATACAACTTTTTTTTTCTCAACACAACCACGTACTATCAAACCAGCTGGGGTTTGGGTGAGTTTTCAGTATATTGGGGTCAGATTTACTTTTGTGGTAGAACTATATTTCTAACTCTGTTTGACATCTTTCATCTAAAAAAAATATATATTTTCACCCAACATTATCATGCAGGTGACGTTTGGTGTGAGGTTATTCACACAAAATTTTAATTCCAGTGTAGTATTGATGAATAGACTGACCTCATGCATAACCTGCATAACCAAGTCCACTCAATCAAAGGTTCAACCAACTTATTGTGCCCCTGAGAGCTGAAATATTTTCCCCCTGGAAGGTTCAGATGCTCCTGCAAATTCAAACAAGGGAAACCTGCTGGCTGGGGGTGTTTAAGGGATGTACAAGGTCAAATGCTGCAAACCGGCCTGAGTGGAGGGAATGCAATGCACATTAAATGTCTTTGGAGACAATGTGCATTCCCATTTTGGTGCAAAATAGAGTTTCTGTTCGTGTTTTTAGGATTGTTTACCTCATGATGATCACTGATGGTGGAAGAAGCACTCTGATCTATAAACATTTTGCAGAATGGTCTATTTCAGAAAAATATTTTGTGTTCTAACAATTGATGCATTAATGCACGTACCACTTTCATGTTGTAGCTGCTAAAGGTGGAGCCAGTTTTAACCACTTTATACACTACTAGTTTAATATATTCTAATACATCATAATTTATTTTCTTATTTCATTTTGTATTAAAAATAAATATAAAATTGAGTTATCAAGTTTACTTTACAAAGTTTACTTAAGTGCAGTACTTGAGTAAATTATATAATTGTAATCAGTAAATCTATTGATATTGACTTTTCTTGTTCAATCTCCCAAATATCTTTTTTAATAAAACGGCTTTTCTCTTTTGTTGAAGATCATTTATATTGTGATCAAGAGGTTTCTTCTTTTCTTTCCTTCTTTCTTATTTTCCTGGTTCTTCCTTTGGCCCCAGCTATTAGTGATAGTTAGAACCACCCACTGTGATTTCTTTTTATCGTTTATGGCTGCAGCTGTGACAGTTTTTCTGCATGATGTCTTTAAATCAGTTTTGCCGTATGGACTCATTCACTCCTGTACCACTCCAAAATGGCTTAACCTCTCTCTGCCATTAAAGGTAATAATAACAATTCATCACAGTGAATGGAAAAACGGACACGAAAAATTGCATCAGAGCATTACCATAAGGCAGGAATTTTACATTGTGAATATGTTCTGCTCGTTGCTTCATATTAAAGTTCACTCGTTAAAGAAAGTGAAAACATTTCTCATAAAACGGCCCTTCATATTGTATGAAGGGCAGTTTTATGAATAAAGTTTTAAAGTTTCACTAACAAAACAACTTCTCGACAGCGACGCTGGCTCCAGTACAGAGCCCGGTAGATGTGAGAGGAGAAAAGAAAGTGCCCTTATTTTATTAATTACATTGTGGAATCTGCACCACTAAATTACCTGTCCTTTTCTCAGAGTAATAAGTTATGACCTTCACTCCTCTTCCTCCTAGTTCTGTGTCTCTGCCCTTGTCCCTGTCACTCTTTCGTAATTGATCACCAGTGGCGGAAGATATATTTATACATTTTTATACAAGTAAAAGTAGCATAGAGGATTCTCCTTGAAAGGACTGAGCACTGTTTAAAGCAACGGAAATATCCATTGATTTTCATTTAGAAACTCAGCCTAATTCTTTATATTTGCTGAATTAAACAGCAGAATCGAACTGCCTGTGGATAAACATTCATCAACATTTCATGTTGAGCTGACCTGCTGTGCACTGGAATGATTGCATTGCATGCACTAGAGGTTACATAATCTTAGCAGTTAATTGGAATTAATTAATTGGATGTGTACTAATTGAACCCGGTTTCCATTTGTCTGTAATTTGTGTTGCATGTTTTTTTTTCTTTCCTGGAAACACTGAAGGAAGTCCTGTAATTGTAAAAGTTTTTGGGGTTTGTTTGTTTATTGTTGTTTTTGTTTGTTTTTTGGAAGTGGCAGTCGAATTTCAAATGCATAGATTTATTTGTGCATTTATTTTAGGAGATACGCTTCTTTGCTTTCTGGCAGAGATTTAATTAACATAGATGAGGACATTGTTAGCGTTATCTGAAAACTACAAGGCTACAGCAGGCAAAAGGCTAGCTTGGCTTAGCACAAAGACTGGACATGGGGGCTGGGTGGGAAGCTATCAATGCTTCTGTCCCACAAAATCCACCGAATTAACATCTTGTTTGTTATTAATCTGTACACCTCAATGCCATAGTTTACATTATATTAAGTACTAGTCTGTTTCTTGGCTTTGAGCAGTTGCCGGGCAACCAGCAAAGACTCCAGGATGCCTTTGTGCTAAGCTAAGCTAACCAGTTGTTGGCTGTAGCCTTATATTTGACAGATAAGTGTTATTGATCTTCTCATATACCAGAAAGGAAGCAAATAAGTGCACTTCCAAAAATGTAAAACTTCCCCTTTAATACAAATTGAAATAGTGTTTTTTTGGTTTATATATATATATATATATATATATATATATAGGCCTATATAAATATTCATCTCAGCCAATAGCATCACAGTATTTCTGCCCAGTATAAACAACCGAAACTCTGCGTGAGACCCCCTCCTCTCCTCTCCTCCTCTCTCCTCCTCTCTCCTCTCCTCTCTCCTCCTCTCTCCAACTATTTCCATCCTCCTCCTCCTCCTCCGCGGCTGTCTCCCGCCGCGCTGACCCGCTGTCGACCACCGACCAGAGAGAGGCGGGGGACTGTACTAACGTTACCGAGGAGCGGGGACTTAATGGGCGTCTGCGCGGACCGTGCACCGACCGAGGTCAAGGTGGGAGGTTCGGCAGTAAATTGCTCGACTGGACGCTGAAGCCTGACGGAGAGGAGAGCGGACCTGACTGTGAGCAGCTGTACCGGGAGAGGGTAAGTGATTTAAAGGCTTTAAAAAGAGGCTGAAAAACGAGTTTTATTTACTTATTCTGTCTATTGAGATTAAACTCTGTGTGTGTATTCTCTCTGCGGGGAAACTTGTTGCTGTGATTTTCTAACGTTTTAATGAGGGATTTGTACTTTTTCCTGGTGGTTTTGTGGAAGGAAGGACAAGTAAAACAAAAAATAGTTCTTATAGCTAATATAATTGGTCTTTATTTGATATATCTAAGAACGATTTTTGATGTATTTTTGCACTAAAGAACAAGTTCAAGATGTATTGGCATATGTAGGGTACAGTGTTAACAGACTATAAATCCAAAAGTGAAAATAAAATGTATAGTTTATAAAAGCGATCACTGACATATAGTATGAACCATGACAAATATACAGTGTATAACAGATGCCACTGACATATTGTAAGTTTAAAGCTGGTTGACATGACACAGAAAATAAATAGCTTAAATGAAACCATAATAAAACATTTAACTATATTGAGTGATAAATCTGTCCAAAGAACAATTTATTTAATGGTATGGACTGTGCATTTAAAAAAATCTACTATATATAATATATAAAAACTCTTACATTACACTATAGACAGATGTTCAGTAGTGTACAATATGAGTAATACACCCTATTCATCTGTAAAGGTATGTGCAGAGGATTTGTATAGGACACTCCTCAACTCTCCTCAAGGTTCCTTAAAAAGTTCTAATTACTCGGCTTGGTCTGATTACGTCCCTTAAGAGAAACTCCAAATTCTTTAAACTACTCCACAAGCATGCACATTACTCTTTTAAGGACTCTCCTTATTATATTTTCATTTGAGGATAGCCGAGGCTCCAATATAATGACGCATTGATAAAATAAAATAATTTTCCATTTGGGTTGAAGAAACAGATAATATAATACCTTTTTTTTTTTATTATTATTATTTCTCATTTGTGATACCCTCTGGTGGCCAAAAGGCTGCAAAGTGCCATTATGCTTGGTTTGGAGGCATTCTCTCGAGATAATAAAGCTCAGCTGAAGGATGGATTCCCCGAATGGGCTGAAACGTGAGATTTAAAATGGCAAAATCAAACTTTTTGGCAGTGAGACACTGTAACGGATGTAAATAGCTAATTATACTGACTTATTAACTGTGTCCATCTACTGTCTGTGTTACGTGACAAATTGTGACTTCAAGAACTCATTTTGAATCTGTATGAAATTCCCCAACAGCAAAACGGGGGAATTACACTGACTTTGCTCTTATCGATATCACAGTGAAGCCCTTTTTCCTCGGTCGGTGTGCAGCCGTGCATTAGTTTAATCCATGTGGTAGTTTAATTTCACTTGGAACTGACTTCCGAAAGCTGCAGACTCTCACTTTAAATAAAAGATGAAGACGATGCAAAAATTGCTTCTTGAATAAAAGATGTTTGTGGTTGGTTAGGAGCATCACCCCCGGCTGGAGGTCTCCTTGTGTGACTCTGTGTTGAAAGGACTCCCTATCACTCTCTAAACTGTTAATCAATCAGGAGCTCAGATCACAGCAGAGAATCTGATGCCTTGTATCATGTCACACAGTGGATCCTCACCCCCTTTCTGCAGTCCTCTCTGGATAGTATTTATCTCTTTGATCATTTCTTTGGCAGATTGCTTATTGCAGGAGAGGTTTAGATGGAGCTCATCTTGATCATTGTGTGTCTCAATATCGTGCCTGCACTTTACCTTAACAGATGGAACACAAAATCTGTTTCTCCCTTTCACTCTGTTTTACCCAGGATACCTAATGATGTGAAGGTGTGATTATATTCTATTTCTTTTTCCTCTCTTTCTCACTCACTAGAAGCACTGTACGTGCAGTACGAGGTGTCACATCACAAGTATTTTCATAATAATTGGTATCATGGCTCTGCACAGGCTGCTGATTGAATGTATATTACCATATGGGTGACGTGTAGTTTTAGAGCAGTGCAGGGAACAAACACATGATTAGGCAGCTGTAGGTCTGAGTGGCTGCTCTTGATTAGAAATAATCCCTATTGGGTTTTCTTTTAAGAGAACTCATCAGTGTAGTCCATTGCTTGCTTGATTGCTGTACAAACCAGGTGCATTGTCATCTGTCAGAAAAAAAGAAAGATTACTTGTGACTAACATACAGCCCTGTATGCAAAAGTCACTGGTTGCTCATTAAAAACTGGGGAAAAAAGGAACCCGGACAGTTCTGGGTGTGATTGAGAGTAGGAATGGGGGTTGAGAAGTGAAGCAACAGTGAATATTTTCTGCCCCAAACTCAGCAGAGAGCTGATTATACTGCAGCTGAACATACACATCATTCCCAGTGGCTGCGACTCATTCCCGCCTCTCAGTGAAAGAAATGAAAGATTTATTGCAGGCCAGCTCAAAGCCTAAGCGGAACTGGGGCAAAATTTTAAGTCTTCTTTTTTTTTTCTTTTTTTTTCCTTGTTGTTGTTTTTGTTGTTTTTTTCAGTAGAGTTGGGGGCAGACAAGGCCAAGGATGTAATGGACCTGTCAAGTGTCTCCAGAGAGGATCTACAGACGGGGAGAAACAGGAGATTAGACGGGGGGGGAGATAAGAGGAGAGGATGAAGGGACAAAGGCTGATGGATGTTATTGAAGGGAGATTTAGGACAGAAAGGGCATCAGACAACACAGGATTGAGAGGAGTGAGAGGTCACCTCATAATAAAATGAAATAAGACAGGAAACTGTAATGTAATTACACCGCAGGGAAAATAAAAGGTTATTAGTTTTTATATTAATATACATAATACATGATATCAATATAAAATCCAAAAAAACATGTTTATTGTTCTCACATTATATATATTATATCAACAGTAGCATTTAACCTTACCTTAAACTCTCCCTTCTTTACCCTACCCAGCCTCTTCGCTTGTAAAGTAAATTAGAAGACCCAGTATATCTATGTATATAAATACAATAGGCATACACTTTAACAATTTTAAATATATTATGAATTTTTTTTATATATATGTATATAGGAAAAGAGATTTAAAAACAAAACAATGAAAAAAGCACTTGCAATAAATCTAAAGGTATTTTATGAGCCATAAATACTCCCAGTGGTCTCTGAGGATCAGTTTACTCCCCAAGGCACCATGTTTCACAAAATGTCCCCAAATCTTTTCATGAAAATTCAATTTATGCAGTATATATGCATTTATTTTTTTCCTATCAACATACATTGAGTTATATTCTTTATCATTAGTATTATTATTATTATTATTATTATTATTATTATTCAAATAGAGTCCTGTCCAGTGTTTGCTTGCAATATCTCCAAATTAAAACAATTTCCTTTCTCCAAGGAAGATCAGGCCGCAAAATAACAATCTTAGGTTCCATGGGCATACGAATCACCCCCCCAAAAAAAGAAATCTTATTTTGCTACATTCTCAAAATGCAATATATAAATATTCCTTGCAGAAGGCTACACTTACACCAAGCACAGCATTAACAGACTTTTCATTTTCAGACATATTTGTTTCTCTCCAGGAGAGCACAATGTAGCGAAACGATTTTCCAACAAAGGCCATTCTTGTTTCATTATGCATTTTACCCCATCCATTTTTAAATATGTGGGCCAGAAAAACAAATGATGGGCCAGAGGCATAGCCTGAGGCAGCAGTGGGGGCAGATAAGTGAAGACTGTAGATTGAGTGTCGTGTCAATTCTTTGTTTTGAGACAAAGGTCATAATGTAAAAAGTATCATTACTGACTAAAGTAATTGACTTCACGTAACATCAGGAGTATTAGAATATTGGTCTATAGACTGAGAGATTTATCACTTTTAGAGTATTTGTATCATTGGGTTGTTTTTCTTTTTGCATGTTTGTATCCTCACACCTTTCAATCTCTGCTGGTTTATTCTGTAAATACAAAATACAACCTTGTTTTTGCCCTACATTTTATATCTCCTTCCATCATTTCCTGAGCGACGTTATGGCTCTCCGTAGCTCTCAGACTCTAATTAGACTTTGCTCTTCCCATAATAATTGTGAATCTGTTCAAAGTATATTGAGGTTCTAATGAGCAGCAACGCCAAGGGAGCTGCATCAGTATAGCCGCTTCATTTTGTAGCTCAGAAACATCTGGGCTGTGTTCACACTTTGGTAGGTATAGCTTTGACGGCACAGTCTCATTAAACTTTGACAAATGAGCTCAAGCTCTGAAATGCAGATAAAGTATTGTGGGGATGTTAGACATTACATTAGATATTTAATTTTTAGCTGTTACTGTAACTGTCATGGAACAATGAAGTTTTAACAACTCATGTTAGGGTCGTGTGCTTGGATTAAGTTTAGTCAAGTAAAACAATCTTTCATTAACACTTCATTGATAACAAAAACTGGCCCAGCTGCCATCCTATGACTTTCCACCACATTACCTCACTGAGAAAGTTTTGTCTCTTTGTTCATTAAAATTTTAAATCATTAGGCTCATTCCACAAAAGTTTAGGAGACTTGCTTGGAAGCATTGCTCACCCACATTACTCAAAACCTTCTTTTCCATAATGATATGGAATAATGGTATGGGAATAAGTGACATTTGTGGTAATTGGAAGTATGAAAGGTAATATATATATATCTAATAAAGGTAATAAAACTATACAACACAGGGAGAAAATAATTGGGTTTCAAAGTAATACGCTTGAAAGTTACACTTATTGAAGAAGTTGTCAAGCTTGCACTGAGCCATAAAAGTCATCCAGACACAGTAAAAACAACTCCTTAAGCACCAAGTGTGTCCTCACAGTGATGTGATTTAATAAAATATGACCATAAGAATGACATCTTACAGAGAATCAAATGACATTTGTAGCCCTGACCTCAGTGAACCAGTTTCTGCCCTTTGTATGCACACAGTTTAAGACGTGTTTACGCAGTTATGCAGCTTTACTTCGGAGGCCATGTGTTAAATTAAACTGGCTTCTCAGAGCAGGGATCATTACACCCTGT